GTTCTTACTCCCAATTGATTTGAGTTTTCAGGGTCCCAGTAGTTCCCTCCAAATGTCATCGTTCATTGATTGCATTTGAGTTTTTAACAAGATAGAATTTGACTCTTTGCTATGTCTCTTCCCGTAAGCCATTGTTTCAAAGTGCAGGTGCCGTGTGTGTCGATCGCGGTAGTTCTCAACACTAACATATGCACCCATAATCTGAGCCACAAACAATAAGATGCACGGGCTGTTTGTATGCCTCAATAAACAACCCAGCCTCTCTCTACGGCCTCACTGTGTGTCATTGGTCTTTTCTAACCCAACCTCTTTTGGTCCAATTGGTTGATTGAGCGGCCCCACTTCCCTAATGCCCTGAAGGAAGCTCTGTAAAGTCCACTGAAAGGTAAGCGTACAGTGTCACGACAGAACCAAGGACAACACCCGCAACCAACCTATGATTGTTTGGCATCTCACCTTATTCCCACGTCACGCTTGCAGTTGCAGTTGCAGTTGCAGTTGCAGAGACAAATTAAACATTCAGCCGCGACAAGAGACACAGCAGCTCTTTTCTCCCCCGCCTTTGATGTCAGCCAACCTTTCCTTATCCATCCCTGCCCACCCTGAACGAGATAACTGTACATACACTGCAAGGCAAGTGTTGAGAACGCAACGTCAGTACAGGTAATCCATTCATCACTGTCATTATGCAGTAGAAGAGGAACAATAGAAAATAGTCAATAACCACACCAGCCATCAACCCACCACAGCATCATCACCAGACACACATTATAAAGTACCTTTGAACATATGGTAAACACACTGTTGTAGCCGCGGTTTAATACAGTTGTAACAACGTCAGCTGTGCAGTCGTATGTAGTCGCGCCCAACCCTCGGTTCAGTAACACGTGGACCACCTCTCTCAAGTTACTGCCAGTAGGGTCAATCATCCCACCTGATGATATTTACATTGATGCCCCGGCACTTGTAACTTCCACTTTTTGTTATCTATCAATCAAGCGATATTATTCTATTAGGGACTGTCGCTTGTTACGAGTCACACCCGCCTCACGAGGACAACCAACCAGCACCGTTGAAAGGCGGACAAAAGTCAAAAAAGCAACAGTTGTTTTACTTGAGTCGACTCATCAACACCAAGTGAAAAAAAAACAAGAGTCAGCAACAGTCTATCTGTCAATACCCGGCTTTTCTCTCTACTAGTCTAGCCTACTCTGACTCTGCCGAACACAGCCCACTTGACCTCTCTCTCTGTTCTCGTCAGAAACCTAAGAAAGAGACAAGAACTCCACTACACGAAACCGTTACTGTTGACTACTGCCCAACCCCACCTCTTTTTGAGAAGAGAAAAAAAAAAGTTGCAAGCAGAAAACAGAGCCCAGCGCCCAGTCTTGTTTGGGAAAAGACCCGCCCCGCGCTCGCACCCTGGCCCCCCTGTTCTTTCTAGCCCACCCTCCACTATCAAACCTGGTCTTGTAACTAAAAAACAACCCCCGGTCCCCGGATCCGCCGCCACCTGGCCCGACAGAACAGCGCAAAGTACCTGCAAACGAGCTAAACCCTCTTAGCCCAGACCCAGGCTGCGGTGTCACTACGGGCCTCTATCAACACAACACATCCACTATTACCTCCCGAGGCATCCCTCCAACTTTCTTGTTTTCCACTCTTCTTGTTTTTCTTTCTCACCAACACAACAACACCAAACCTGTACCAGCGAATATCAATATTGCAGCAAACGAGGAAATACTCGCTTTCGACTCTCTTACGCTTCGACCGTAAAGGCTCGGCAATGTCCCCCAGACTCAAGCCGCTGCTGCTTCCGCAGATGGTGGAGGATCGACGCAAGTGGGAGGTACAACAAGTTAGCCCCGAGACAGACCTCTCTTACGTCTACTACACAACAAATTCGTCCTCATCCGATGTTGCTTCACCACTCACTCCGGCTTTTTCTCCTGCCAAAGGTCACTTTCGCATGTCGAGCTCAACATCTTCTCTCGATCTTCCACCGCAATTGAACGAAAGCCCCATCTCACCTACGCAATCGATCCACACAAAACCTCCAATGCGATCATTGCCCGATGTCCAAGAAGAGCCTCTTGAACCTGAACACAACAACATTCACGACGACACCGACCGTAATAGCCTTGCTCCTTCAGACCAGTTTAGTCTCTATGACTGTTTGTGTATGTCTTGTCTTGTCTTCGCCGTCCGGTCAGGCCGTCATATCGCCGTGTTTGGCCTGCCACTTTCGTAATCACCTACTAACCCAGCCTCTTCCCGTGTAGGCGATGACCCATATGAGCCCCGAAATAGTTCCGAGGATGTCATGTTTGACGGCAACATTGTTCACGACTACGATATTGACTACGACATGGGTTTCCTGAGCGACGGTGACATTCCAACCGACGAGCGCTCCCGTAAGAAGAGATCAGGTAGCGAGTCACCCTTTGCAGGTCTCACCTCACGCATTGGTGCCCGCTTCCCCAACATGTCGCTCTGGAAACAAAACGGCCGCCGAGGCAACCCCATGATGTCACCCAGTACCGAACTCAGCTTGGAGAGTGTTGTTCTTTCTGGAGGTCCCTCTAGCCGATCGTCATCCATGTCAGCACCCAGCCGACCCGGTCAGGATCGCATGCTGGAAAACACTGGACTCCCTACTCCTGCAGTATCTTACTACGGAAGCACTGAAAGCATTAACCTACCCGCGCCTATCGATATTGAAAAGGCGCAAGCTCTTGTTGAGCAATTCGACCTTGAACGAGAGCGAGGCATGGCCACAACACCTCTATTACCTCCATTAATGACCAGCCCTCTCTGTGGACCCCCACCAGAGTCTCCTCTCCAATCACCTACCATCGCACCACCTTCTTCCACCACCGAAGTCGCTTCGCCAGTCCCCTCTGCGACACAATTCCCACGACCATCTCTAAGCACGAGACCCTCAGTATCATCCTTCCGCTTTGGTTCCAACAGTCCCGAGCTTCCAACCCCTCTCCCCTCGATCCTGCAAGAGTACGACGAGTGGTCCGATAGTCTTGGTCACGCCAACTTTACCATTACTCCCCAGCCTTATCAACCCGAGACTGTGAACATGGAAACCCTCCAGCAGTTGCGCAAGGACTGGGATACCGCACGATGCAACTACACCAAGCACCTCGTACGCACAGGAGAAAACTATGGCGAGACGAGCAAGATCTACGGTCTGACGGAAGCCAAATGGACCGAAATCGAAAAGCGATGGAGGACAACTCACGATGGACTCATGGCCCAGATCGTGGAAGCCACCAGCTCTGCTCCCAGTTCAACAAGTGGTTCACGAAGCCGAAGCCGTGGTCGCGGACGAGCACGAGCCAACAGCGGCGGTTCCAACCTTGGCCGACCCCCACCTCTGGACGATGTCTTTGCTGGTATGCAATGGAAGCGCCTCGAGGATGGACTGCCCAGCGCAATTCCCCGGCTGGTGGATGCGGATGGCAAGTTCCCCGCCCGAGGCGACGAGGACATTGTAGGACCTATGCAACGGGACGAGGTGATGCTACGGACGCACAGCGAGGAGCGCAAGAGTGCACGATTCTGGAAGAACCTAGCAGGCAAGGTTGGCCTGCGAAAGTAACTTTCTTTCTTTCTTCAACCTTTAATGACCTACGATACCATGACGACTAGACAAAAAAAAAAACTAGAAGTCTTTGGGATGGATATAGCCAGCTCTCATGGGGTTTGCTTGGCGTTTTATTTTTCATTTTTTGCCATTTTTGCAGAGATACCCCGACTCATGTCATTCCTTCATTTTACGTCTGGGACATTGGACCCGATATAGCCTCGACGGCACACAACATATCTGGTCGCATCAGACCTGCACATATTGTTTATTGTTTAGAAAAAGTGTACATAATTGGAAAAGGCGCCTGGGGCATAACGAAAAAAGCGAAAAAGTTTAGACGGGGGGGAACCAGGGTACAACAATGCGAGAAGAGCAAGCTCTCTTTGACTCGCTGGAGTTTGATTTGGTTTTGCACCAATGCACGACATTTTTTTGTTCGCTGCTTGCACACACACACACACACACACACACACACTTTATCTCCCGGTATGACACGATGGATGGTGGAAGTAAGGAAAGGGGACGATAGTAATGGCTGTCGAAATAAACAGCTCTCCGGCCTGATCTTGGAAAGACTAGATCTAAAGGCGACGAGGAGAAAAAGAATTTAAAAAAGAATAAAAAAATATCTAAAATACTTTTACTCTCTACCCCTCTATTGTGACTTTGTAACTGACAGGCCATGCAGTGAAATGCCCCCCTTGACTTGTCATCCCAAACACGGTTCATCCAAGCGAAGGCGACTCAAGTTGATACAAGTTTGTGATACCATCAAGTGCGGCACGACGCGACCCTCCATGATGGCTGCTTTTTTTTTTTTTTTGGCCCCCTCTCCCACTCTTTGTATAGGTAACTAACTGGCAACACGACACGGACACGAAGAAATGGAGATGATGACGACACTTATTTGTACTCTGCGAGTTAAAAGCATATGCATGTATTCGCGTTTTCTCAACGCCATGGCTTATGATGATTAATCTCGTAAGTCAGTTTGTGTAAATGTTTCGTTTCAAAAGAGGCGGGAAAGCTTAGCCGTAGATGTTTTGACAGCAGATCTGGTGTTGGACAAGTAATATGCAAGTTTCCGTCAAAAAATGAGGTTTTTTCTTTCTTTTTCATCCCTCTCTTGTGTGTCGTTTGTGATTGATGGATTGTTTCGTTTACTTTGTGTTGGATGCACGGGTAGATGCATTGATCGGAGACAGTGGCTTTATTTAGATGGAGGACATTTGTAAATGGTTAGTGTAGGCTGACACTACAGGACTGACGTGTGGGGGCAAGACAAAAAGAATCCTTGCAAGTGCATCTTTGCATTTGACAACCTGGAATGTCTTGTTTCTATAGGTAGTAAAGATGTATGAAGTAGTGTTATAGTAGCCTATGAAATACAGTAAAACTTCTACTTCAGCCCAAAAGTACTCTCCCAATTACTCCACATCCAACCAAGTGCACTGAAAACACTCTTGTAAAGACTCTCAATACTATAATCCGCAGGAGCCGCAGCGTCCATTGCCTCTTTAGCATCCTGTGGTAGCAAGATCAATTTCCGATTGACATACTGCTTTACCTGCTTTGCGACTTTTCCTGTCATCTTTACATCTCTTTCCCAGCCGTGAGCTAACACTGCGCCCCATGGTCCAAGATCAAGACATGTAGTGTATCCGGGCTGAGAGTATGGGATAGTTGGTTCACCCAGTAAGTCTGCTGCTGCGTTGTGGCCTGAGAAACGGCCGAGGATTTGGGCGTGTTGGCAGGACATTAAAGCGATGTGCCCTTTTGTATCGGTAATAGCATGAGCGGCGTCACCTGTAGCAAAGATGTTCTCACAGCCTGATACACGAAGATCTTGGTCTACGTAGAGACGGGAAAGTGTATCCTTTTCTCCAGGGATTTGTTGTGTCAAAGATGTTGCGTGCATACCAGCGGTCCAGATAACAGTCATTGTATCGATGTGTTCACCAGAACTGAGCTGTACTCCATTTGCGTCAGCCGCAGTAACTGCAGCTCCAAGCTTGAGTTCAACTCCAAGACTTTCCAGAGCTTTCATGATGGTGGGCCGAGGACCTTTTCCAAGTTCAGGGCCAACATCTGGAGCACTCTCGACAAGGACGATGTTGGGGTTTGTGATATTCTTGAGTAGATTTGGGAGCTCTGTTGCCATTTCAATTCCAGTGAAGCCAGCGCCGCAAATAACCACAGTGTCGCGACTTTTGCTGGCTGGAAGGGACTCTAGACTTTTGAGATGAGCCTCGAGTTTGGTGGCTGCGGCGAGAGTGTCGATGTCAAACGCATATTGCTCAAGACCTGCGACACTCTTTGGTCGTACAACTGCACTTCCAGCTGCTAGAATAAGTCGATCGAAATGAACGTCCGACTCATCGTCTGAAGATCGAACGTGAACAGTTTGCGACTTGGTGTCAATTGTTTCGACGGTACCTTGGAGGAAGCCAATACCAGCATCCTTGAAGAGCGGCGCGAGGGACTGCTTCATGGTTGAAGCGTTGGATTCATAGAGACGTGGTCGGAGGGTTAACCATGGTTCGGGTGCGATGACGAGAATCTCAATGTCTTGTTCTTTATTCCTGAGCTTGATGAGGCGTTGGGCTGAGAGGGCGCTCCATACTCCAGCGAAACCGGCGCCGACGATGACAATCTTGCTTGGCATGTTTGTGGTGGTGTATGAAGAAGTTTCGTAAAGGCTTTGAGTGTGTTGACTTGTGTTTGTTGGTGTGAAGATGTTGCTGCGCTTGAGTTGTGTTGGTGTTGATGATGTGGTTCTCCAGCTGCTGCATCCCATCGCGGCCCTTTATACTTCTCGTCGCGATATGTGAGCTGAATTTATCTATGAAATTTGGTCAGTAAGAACAGTATCCCAAGCCGCAAGTCCCGGTAAACTCGCCAGTCTGTAATGCCGGATACCCGCCCCGAGAACGATTACCCGGATTCCCGGGCCCGACATTTGCCTCCATGTCGATAATGGCATAACAAGAGCAGCTTTTCACGATCGGATACAATTGTTCCAGACTCTGTTACACCATGTAAGCGGTGTGCGGGTAATAGATCCTGTTTTATGTGACTCACGAGGTGGTAATTGCCATCATACTTCGCCTTGACTTCACCACCACTCCGCGACACGCTCAGCAGACCCAGGTGTCGTCGCTCTTCGAATATCCAAATCAGTGTCGGTACTCTCCGTTGAAGCCGTATGGTTAGAGGAAGCCATAATCGCAGTGAAATCCGTGCTGTAATAGTCGCATCGAGGACCGGATGTCTTGGTGAGTTGGTGTCAGTAGTCGGAGTGGTAGTTCTATGGAGTAGTGTCAGCGGCGCTGGTATGACCAATTGTTCAACAAGCATAGGGTCTTACGTTGCGACTTCTTCAACGATGGTAGTATCAGTGATACCCTCAATGGGAACAGGCCTTGGTCTTCTTTGACCTTATAGACGAACCAGCTGCAACATACCATCTCCCTCCGCGACACTATTGCTCAGTAAAGAGAATCTAGCTGCCAAACTATGGGAGCAACAGTCAACTGCTACCGCTGCTCTCGTCTGAATCGTTGGACTCTTTGCCGCCACTTGTCGCTATTCTCTATCGATGAGGCTCTCGCGGTGACAATAGGACAAGCTCAAAGCGACTCCAAAGTGACCACGACAGCACACATCAGAGACCTAACCAAGGCCTAAACAATAAATCCTCGAAGCCAGTCTGCCACAATACAATGAGCGCGCGACGTATGTGGTTCTGATGTGGAAGCGGCTCGTGGTTGTCGCAGCTGGCTTGGCTTCTTGGAGAGTTGATCAAGTCTGCCAGGAGAGATAAGCAAGAAGTCACATCTCCAACACCTAGTCGTACTCCTCCTCATGCATTAAACCCATGGCCTCAGTCATAACCCTCACCATTGCCAGGAAAGCCTCGCATTTAACCTGTTGTGAGAACCTCTCTCCCAACACAATTCGCTGAGCGGCAGTCTCGCGTTCCCGAGAGGGGCGGACTGCTTCCTTTTCTCGGTGAACCCAGTCGGATTGGACAGGACAGCTGTCGCAAACCGGTGGGCAACTCTCGTGATTGTAGTCACCAGCGCTTCGAAAGATTAAGAATCCGCTCTTGACGTGAATGAGTACTGGCACCTTTGGGGTGGTGTTATTGGTATCCCTGGCATCGCGACAAGTCAGCTCCATACGTTTTCGCAGACGACAACCTCACCTACATTTCAGATGTTCGAGTGTCATTTCAACCCTCACGCCCAGCTTGGTCCGTCGAACTCACACATATCAATAAGCGAAGGAAAATAAACCAATAGGGATTGCCCTAGTAACGGCGAGTGAAGCGGCAATAGCTCAAATTTGAAATCTGGCTCTGGGGCACAAGTTGTAGTTTGTAGAGGATGATTTTGATGCGGTGCCTTCCGAGTTCCCTGAAACGGGACGCCATAGAGGGTGAGAGCCCCGTCTAGTTGGATGCCAAATCTCTGTAAGGCCGACCTCACTGGCAAACTCCGACGCGAGTTTCGAGAAATTTGCGTGTTAAGGCATCACAAGACGCGCGAGAAGAAACCCTACAAGAAACGCAACGTTAGTTTTACTGTCTGGACCTACAGCCTCGGGTGAAAACACTTGCCAAGTGGGGGTTTGAACTGGTGAATGTTCAGGATGTGACTTGCAGCGATATTTGCTTGTTGAGCGGAAGCATGGTGGCTAACTTGCTGGCTACACTGAGACTGCGCGCGCACTCGATTTTCGCAGAACGGCTTGTGCACAAGTTGATATTGAACGCCCGGTCGTGTCCAGCTAGCGTGATGATACGGTATCGTCATGACTTTTGAGTGTGAAGGTGATGGGCTTAGTCGGAGTGTATGCTGCCAGCTGGGCTGGCTCGTTGTCGGGTTGAGTTCTGCACAATGGGGTCCGTCAAAAGCATTGGCATGTCAACACAGTAATTGCTCCTGGTATCTTCGTTGATGATCTGTGATATCATAAGTACACGGATATTGTACGGGCTTTGGTAGTACCCGGGGGGAAGAGTAACATGCATGTGTTGGTCAATCGTGCCTGGTAGATGTTCCCTCAGCAGAGGTACTCGAGACGTACAGAGCAAAAAGGTTCATGACCATGGATATCAGCCAATGTCGGGAAGGTGCTCGTGTTAGGTGTGAGGGGATTTTGTTTGTACGGTTGACGGAGATGAGCACCTGTGGCCACAGCTCGCCGCTGAAGATGAGCGACTTGCCGCCATCACAGCGGCTTTCGATGCCTCAACTCCCGCTCAGGATGAGTTTATCACACATTGGCCTTTGAGTAGTGATCTTAGCGATATTGTCGTCTTTATCGTCGGCGGCGATGTGAATGTGTTGGGGTCTCCCATTGCCACGAGCCGTCCTCCCCTCCCCCTCCCCCTCGTCTCAAGTTGGCCAGGTGGTCCAGGGGCAGCAGCAGCAGAGTCTTGTGCATCCTGAGCGGGGACAATTTCAGTGCCAGTGTTTGGCTGAGCAGGAGTAGTCGACTCAAGCTGGGCGCGTGTCTTCGACGAGGGGCTGTCCTCGACATCAGACCAAGGAAAAATGATTGTGGTGTCGTCGTTTGTGTTGACTGTGGTCTCAAATTGAGGCATAGGAGGAGTGGCCTCAACAACGGTCCTCGCCCTGTCGCCCCCTCGATCGTCGAGAGCGCATCTGCGCTACTGAAGATGAGCTAGAGCTCAACGATGATGACACACGAAACGCTGAAATAAATCGGAGCGCCTACATGGCTGTTGTCTGGTTATTGCTGCACAGGAGGGCGGGCCAGGCTGAGAGGCGGCCGCAACAGTAGGTGAACTAAATACTAGTGTGTTGTCATAGTACGGCGGGAGCTCGAGTGTCTAGGACGCAGGCGCGGTGGCATCGATGATACGGCGTCGGGGGTCTAGAGAAGATATGTAGAACGATCAGCAGGTGTACTCGCAGTGAAGAGAGAGGAGAAATTCAATGCGCACGAGGCAGTGACAAGTTGTTCACGGCAGGAACTGGATTATGAGAAGTTATTGCAATGCTTGGAAGTGCTTTATCCAAACGTCGACATCTCGCCCACATCTCACTGGTAAAGATATGGGTTCTCACCTACAAAGATGTAAACTTTTATGAATCTCAACCTGGCAAATCATATAAGGATAATGAATCGGCTTTGGAAATCTGAAATCTGAGAGGTATAATGCGCTGCCACAAGTCAAAGCCAAGGCTAGTCAGGTACACAATCGATACCGAGAAATCCTCACTGTAAAATTCCGTCACAATAGCAAACAAGACATAAGGCGTTACTGAGTTACTGAGCACTGGATTAAACAGATCCTCAAGAGTGCAAAAAGCCAGACTCGCCTATATAACATGTTTAAAATCTAGAAATGGCTCCAACTGAGTTCGTTTAAACGTTCGCATTTCATTGTTGCTTTTGCACAACTTCAGTTAGTAAATGTATGGATGAAGCGACATAGACAATCACAAGACAAGACAGCACAAAGGCACAAGATTATGACTGAACCATTTATTCATTTATTGCCTCATCCCGAGGGCTTTCCTGCGTCGGCCCTCCGAAAACAGGTGCAAAAACAAGATCAAAAACAATCCGTGGTATCTTTGGCAACCACCAACGCCGCGCCATGCTCATACAGTCGTGATTAAAGGCGCTGGGAGATCCCCTCCCAGCGCCGCCGTGTCCTTCCTTCTAAAACTTAACCCCCAGGCAAGACCTGGGGCGACACCAAGGTGTTGTCCGAAGACACGGAGGGATCAAGCCCCACCGCGTGCGCGAGATCGCGTCACGCGTTGGGACTTGGGTCCCTCCGCCACCTTGGCAGCCCGCGTCGCCTTGGGCTTTGTCACCCCAGTCTTGCTCCGGGTCGCCTTCTTCTTGGGGCTTGACCCCTGGATCTTCTCCAAGGGGTCCTTCCACCCCACGCGTCGCCCGCCGGCCGATCCCTCTCCGACGTCCGAGTCCTCCTCGGACTGGTCCTTGATTCTAGTCAGGACCTCGGCCGGGGACTCAGCGTCGCCCATGTTCTTCTTGGTGTTGGACCGCGTCTTGCGGTCCAACTCCTGCTCCTCCGAGCGTGGCTTCCGCGTCAAGGAAGCACGCCCGGCCCCAGCTCGAGAGAGCTTGATTGGGGTTGGGAGCGAAGACTTGGGCCCACCGGTCGCTCGGAGGCGTGAGGACCGGCGGGGAGGGGATACGGCCTGGGCGTTGGCGGTATCGCCGGGGGTGGGAACCGACGACTCTGTGTCCTGAGTCTCGGGGAGGTCGACCATGTCGATGGTGAGGTTTGACTTCATTCGGGCAGCCTTGCCCTTGGGTGTGGCCTCGACCTTGGCCTTCTTGGGCGAAGGCTTGTCATCTTCCTCGTCCTCATCCTCGTGCTTGCGCTTGGCCATCAACGGGGTACCCCTGTTAGGGCTTCTGTCTCCGAGAGGCTTTCGGGTCGCAGCGGGAGTGGTGGGAGAGCCAGACTCTGTGGTAGTGGGCTGTCGGGTCTGTCTGATGAAGTCACGCATAAACGCGCGATTCGGGCTTTCCTCTGCAGGGACAATTCCAGTACTTGTGTTCGACTGGATGGGAGAATCCTCAACGTCTGCCAATGAAACAGCAAGAGTTTCATCAGCGTTATCAGCAGCTGGCGTTGCAAACTTGGGTGTTGCGGGCTCGGTGACAGGAGCAGCAGCCTGGGTTCGTGGTCGGGATCGAGCAGGGCTATCCTCTACATCTGGCCAGGGAAAGACAATAGTAGTATCGTCATTCGTGAAGACCGAACTCTCGAACTTAGGTGTCGTGTGGTTAGGTTCAGTGGTCTCAGCAGGCGTTCGATTCGCAGCTTCCAAAGCATTGGTAGTAGCTCTCTTGAGAGGAATCATCGCGCTTTGGCGGCGTGTCACACGCTGGGTAGATGTAGGCCGAGGAGTGGTAGCGACAGGAGGCGATCCAAATACTAGTGTATTATCGTAATACGGCGGCAATTCCGGCGTAGCAAATGGTACAGGAGAAGAGTTAGACTGAAGCGTAGATGCAAGTGGGCGAGTGTTGCTCTTGGTATTCGGGGTGGATGCCAATGCAGACGGAGAGAATGTGAGATCGGAGTCCTCTTGATGAGAGATGGTCTTAGTCTTGGGAGTGGTCGCCAACGCTGATGGTGAAAATGTAAGATCATTGTCCTCGAAACCCTGGCTGGCTGGGAACATGTGGGCGTGCTCGGCCGACAACTTAAATCGGACAAAGAGTCTGCCGTCCTCCTCGGTGACGACGACATTAGCGAGGCCATTACAAGCATCATTAGCCATGCGAGACAAGCTCTGAATGGGAGCGGGGGGAGATGAAGGGTTAGCGCCAAAGATATCTGGATTCTCTCGCACATCGATCTGGACGATGGACTGCTCGTTGATAGGAGGTTCATCGATGATCTCGTCAACGTTGTCGTTGTCGGTGGCAATGGGTACAGAGTCTTCCATTTGTTCATCAACTTCAGCATCGTTGACATCAGCAGCGACGTTGTCGTGATCAGCGACGGCAATGGGTTCAGGGCCATCTGTTATTTCATCGTGAACAGCGGTAGCGTCACTAGCATTGGTGTCATGAACAGCCTCAATAGGCAGAATCTCAGAGACAGCACCATCATCGGTGGATTCGTTCTCGACAGACTCAGTCTGGATGGATTCAGGTGCAGACTCAACAGGAGCGACGTTGGTGTCATGGATGGGTTCAATGGGTGCAGGTTCTTCCATTGTAATTTCATCAGAGACAATAGCGTCGGGTGTGTCGACAGTCTGAACAGGAGCAAGGTCGGTGTCATCAAGAGAAGTAGGAATGTCGAACAGCGACGCGATAGAAATAACGTCCTGGAAGGTGTCATCGGCCTTGAATCGGAGCTTTTGGGGAGAAGCTGATCGGCGACGAGCTTGGTTCAAGACAGACTTGATGAGAAGAGGCTCACTGCGGCGACGACGAGATTGGTTGACAATCTGAGAACGAGCTTGTTCAGTGGCTTGGGCAGAAGTGTTCATCCAAGAGAGAGAGCTTTCGAAAGCTGATGCACCGCCAAAGTCAATCGAGTCAGTACCGCTGAGGGTCTCGTAGGTGCAGGCAGGGGCCTTGGGGGTGTCTGGAAGCAGAGCATAGAGGCCAATAGGGCTGTCAGTCTCGCCGGGAGTAGCAGCAGTAGCAGTCTGGGGCACGGGTGTGAACGGGGTAGAGGGCTCGTCTCGGTTCCAACGAGAGGGAGTGGGACCGATGGGACGAAAGTGGTTCACAGGGGACTTGTTGGGGGTGGAGGGAGGACCTCGAGTGCTCTCATCACCATTAATAGAAGAAGAGTCAAACTCGGATGGAACGCGGAAAGTGCGACCGGGGCTGAGAAGAGAAGACAGGTCTTCGGCAGGTTCAGGTGAGCCTTCCTTGGAAGGAGAAGCATAATCCTCGTCATCAGATGCAGCGGGGGAGTACTGAAGGGAAGCAACAGCGTAGTCATGGACAGGGCTGGCAGTCTGGGGGACAGGAGAAGATCGTGACTTGACGGGAGTAGAGAAACCTCCACGAGAAAGGCCAGGAACAAGCTTGACAAAACCTTGAGCAAGACGGTTGCCACGAGGGGTGGACTTGGAGAATGGGTTTGTAAGTCGAGCGATACGCTTGGCTGGCGAACGGGACTCAAACTTGAGGACAGGCTCACGAACGACGGTAGGGCTTTCGGGTTCGGATTCGTCAATGATGTCAGAAAGATCTGAACCACCAAAGGCAGCAAGTGGCTGGCGAGGGTTTCGGCGGCCTCGTCGCAGGGTAGAACCGAGCGCGGTCATAGAAGCAGTAGCAAGATCAACCTCCTTCATACCACGAGAGTAGGCTCGCTTGATCATAGGGAGGACCTTGTAGTAAAAGCCAAGCTTGTTACCACCGGTGGGAGTAAGCATGATAGGAACGTCGGGCTTGTTGTTGTGAACATCGGCGCGTCGCTTGAAGGGGGTAATCTGGCAGATACCGTTGCGGGCAGCTCGTCGGTCTTCGTAGGAAGTGCAGGAGGAGGTGTACATGAAGTTGTTGGCGACGTTTGCTAGTGAGCGTTAGAGAATGGTTGTGTGCAAATGATTCATTGTAGACTTACTGGTTGCGACCATGAGTTCGCTAACCATGAAGGCATGGCTCATGGCGTTGCCCGAGTAGGCCGCTTCACTAGAGATAGGCTCGTACTTGGAACCACGTCGAACCTTGCGAGGGAGAAGTTCGTCAAAAGCGATGGATTCGCGGGTGTTTGGGATCACAAAATTGACCTGAGGAAGGATCGTGAAAGGTGAAGGTTGCTTGCGCTCGTTGCAAATGGGAACTCGCTTCATGATCGAGCGGTTCTTCCCATTTGCAGTGGAAAGCGTTGGGACACGATCCCAAGCCGCACCTCGAGTGCGAGATGTCGGAGCAGCCAAGTCAAAACTGAGCGAGCTATTTTATCGTTAGCATCGGTGGTAGCTTGTAAAGGTTATGCGAAGCCTACATCTTGTCGGCGTCGACACGAGTGTTCCCGGTGGTGGAAAAGAAGGGAATAAAATCCGCCGGGACCGGATTTCTGTGAAATAAATAGGTCAGCATGCTTCGAGGATGATTCACTGTCGAAATAGACGAGGTAAAACTTACATTCCCTTGGGCTGTTGCCCAAAATCCCACTTGGGGATATCTTCCATTGCGGAAGATGCGACGATGGTCGCGAGAGTGTCACAACGTAAAAATTAAATTAAAAAAACGGTGCGGGCTGAAAGCTAAAAGAAAGCTTGTGTTAGCTGGAGGGTTGCGAGAAGAAGGTTTTGCGGTATCGCGAGAGAAAATCTTACCGTTCTGGTGTCGGATCGTGATCGTTGCGCAAAGGTAAAGTTGGAAAGTTTGTTTTGATCGGGACGGATTTGGTGGGCTGCTGTAGATGGCGCCTACCACTAGCGCCAAACGCGTTGGTGGGCGTAGTCACGTGCTGCCACCGTTGCAAGGATCCACCATGAACAGGCAGCTGGCTCGCAGTGACAGCCAGCCGACGAGCAGTTACTTAATGAATTTGCGTGAATTTGGATTAACGTGACGGAATACGGGGTCGCGTTGCGGGGGATTGTTGTTCGCGTGGTAACGCGTATCTCTATACTCGCGATGTTCTTGAACAATTCTATCTAAGTTCAAGGCGATCCATGCGCTAAACTAAGAATAGGGATGCGACATGGGTATTGAGGGTCTCTAAAATGAAGATGATTTTATTGTAATTGTTATCGATTGTCTATTGGTCTCTCCAGAATTTGCTCTCCTGTATCTACCTCTGCCTACGGTTCTTTAACAACACTGCAACATTAACAAGTTGGGGTTCAATTGACGTAGCCCGGTAGTGTTTGTAGATCAGAGGCTGAGTCTTAAACATTGACAGGCGGACACAGGCCAATCGGTTCAGCTGAATGACGTTGGTACCTTGGGTAGCATTGTTCTAGTGCGATTCCAGTCTTGTTCTTATTTAGACACCAAGAAAGCAGCCTTATGTCTAGAATAATACCAGTAAATATGCTGTTTCTTCGAAAAAGCAATATGTTCATCTCAAGTGTCACAAATAAATTTTATCATGGTATTCATCCGTGATCAAAGCCCTGAGCCAAGAGCGGGAACCAGCGGCAGCGGCTACACTAGACCGGGTCAGGGTCTCAACGCTCACAATGGAAGTTTGTTTACTTTTGGGTCTGAATGCGCCAGTTGCGACAGCAATCCTTCAACATTGTGAATGTGGAAAAAGAGTAGATCACATAATGAAACAAATATTTCCGGTTTTTGTGTGCAATATTTTATTATTTTAACATTCCGTCTTGGGTCGTGCTCAATGAAGAAGACGTGGCTTACAGCTACTGAGCAAGTCTTGCAACGATTTTGTATTCAAGAATAACGGTATTAGACTCGGGATTCATGAGAAACCACCAAATATTTAAAATAAAGGCTGTCTTTAAACTTTACCAAGGGCAAGTTCAGTATTATATTTGACCACCGTGAATAACCACCAAATTTTAGCACTCTATGCCGTCTTTAAACCGCCACATAAACTTAGTTCTCATGTCACTGAATCCTGAAAGCTTAATGGTATAGGGTAGCAGCAACCTTACTCAGAAAGCCTCAAACCCCAGGTTGGGGAGAACCACATTTGCCCCGCCACCCTTTGAGCCGCGTGCCCAGCGAAACGTCATCCCCTCCAGGCCACCACATTTCGACCTTTAACCATCAACATCACAACCACGATATCCCCCAACATCTTCAACCCATCGACACAACAACTACGCCTCTATCTACGCACCTCCATCATGAACCGCCTCTTCGGCTCCAAGCCCACGGGCCCCAAACCCACTCTCAACGGCGCCATAAACAACCTCGACACCCGCATCTCCTCTCTCGACACCAAACTCAAAGCCCTCAACGCCGAACTAGGCGCATACCAAGAAAAGCTCTCCCGCATGCGTGATGGTCCCGGCAAACAAGCGATGAAACAAAAAGCGCTCAAAGTTCTCCAGCGCCGCAAAGCGTACGAAGCCGAGAAGGATAAACTCGAGAGTCAGGTGTGGAACATGGAGCAGGCTAGCAACATGCAAGACAACCTCAAGAACGTGATGACGCAGGTTGACGCCATGAAAACAACGAACAAGGAACTCAAGAAGCAGTATGGAAAGATTGATATTGACAAGATTGAACGGCTGCAGGATGAGATGGCGGATTTGATGGATGTGGGAAATGAGATTCAGGAGAGTTTGGCGAGGAGTTATGATATTCCTGATGATGTTGAGGAGGACGAGTTGGATGCTGAGTTGGAGGCTTTGGGGATGGAGGTTGAGATGGAGCACGAGATGGGTGGTGCTGTGCCGGGTTTCTTGCAAGATGAAGTCGTGCCTGATTTTGTTGACGAGCCGCCTCAGACTGAGGACAAGGTGAAGCAAGTTGCTGGTTAATAGGCAGATTGATGGATTGTCACGGTTTCTTGGGATAAGGCGTTGGTAGGAAGGGTTACTAAGGTCATCACGCATATTTATTTCACCATATTTCAAGCAAGAGCATATTCTTGCAACATGTGTTTCCGTCAATTATTTCCATTGTGATTGTATATAATGTTCGTTACCGAGTTGTATGTCTGATGACGCTTTTCAAATTACTTGATACATATGACCCAATCTCGTCATAACCCGCCAACTCCCTCGCTTGAAATGATGCTTTCGGTGAAACATGCCTTGCAAATCTAGTCCACAGTTGCAAAGAACCTGACAGCCTGTTCCAACGCTGGGTCCTTGTTACAGAAATCCCACCCGACGATTGTTGGAGTTTGACTGCAGCAAATGATCTTGTGCGCATCAAATTGAAGCTTAAAGACTCGCGCCGACGTGTTTTCGGCTGCAGCGATGTGTGGATGATGACCAGCAGCTGCATTCTGTGCTTGACCTGGCTGTCCAGGTGGCGCGCCTTGTCCGTTGGCATTAGCCGCAGCCGGTGGTTGCACAGCTCCGTGAGCGCCTGGCACGTTGGTAGGGTTGGGCATAGCGGCAGGAGGAGGTACCCCGATACTCGATCTCGGATTGGTGCGACCGCTGTCGGTGGAAGTTTGTTGAGAGCTGCTTGAACTCGACTGGTGTCGCAAGGGCGCTTGGCGGATGTGAAGATTGGCCAGAGCATCTGTGACTACTCCTCTCAGTTGAGCTCGAACCAAAGGCGAAGTCTCTCGTTCGATGGCAGACTGCAAGTAAGAGTGATGAACCAGCGCAATCGGGTATTTCGCAAGTACTTGTTGCAGTGAAATTGGACCAAGTGGCACGGTTTGGTCGATGAGCACTTCGTATGAAGTCGCTGTTCGATGAGTATCTCCATGATGATCACGTAGCATCGACGGTCCCAGTGGTGTGCCGTTTGTAGGCGGAGAGCGTGGAACAATGGTAGACGCATGCGACGACCTACTTGCCAATGATGCAGCTACCGCGACGTTTGATGTTGCGCTCGACAGTGCGGCAGCGGCTTCGCGTTGAGCAGCAGCAGCAGCCTCCTCCTGTCTAAGATGGTGTGCAGGTTTCCACACGCCTTCTTTGTCACGTCTCCAAATGATGATGCTCTGATCATAAGAACCAGATACTATGCGGCCGTACTTTCTTCCACCACCGCCACCAGGAGGTACCTTGGCACCGAATGCCTGTACGTCCTCAGGCCGTGAGCTACCAGCGTTCGCCCGACGGTCCCTACGACGTCTCCGATCCATGCTGTGGTCGATCTCACCAGCTTCAAGAGCCCGGAAATACTCGGCGTCCACTGCCTTGGCCTCAGCTTCGTCTTCAGCTGTGCTGTATGGTAGATCACCGAAACCAGCCTGGACAGTACGGACCAGGTGTGCGTGTCCTCGCAACTGGGCAACCTTGAGACCGGTAGGTGCATCAAAAATGCATACCTCCCAGTCACTGCTGCCACTCACAATTCTGCGCCCATCGAACTCAACGCATGCAATTCCCTTGTCGTGTGCGGGAATCGTCTGGGTGCAAACTTGCTCCGGCCACTTCCAAACTTTAATGTGTCTATCACCAGAGACAGAAACAATAGTGCGGTCGCGAACCTGAATAGCATTGACTGCAGCGCTATGCCCGTCCAGACGACCGATCATGGTGAATGGTGGCTTGATGGGAAGCTCCTGAGCCAAGTCTGGCTCGTAACCGTACCTGCGCAGGTTGGTAGGTACTGGGGCAACAATGTCGTTTCCGCCATATCCGAGATCGCCGTGCTTCAAAGGACGCCTGTTGAAGATTTTGATCGTTTTGTCCTTGGAAGACGTAACTAAAATCCGCTTGTCAAATCGCACGTTGAGAACGGATTCATGATGAGCTCTGGTCAATCTTTGCACCAGCTCTCCCGTGGAGAATTTCCAAATGAAAACGTTGGAGTCGCTACTTCCAGAGACAAGCAGATCTTCTTCGGGGTCAGCATCAAACTGCAGACACAAAACGGAGCCCATGTGTCCTGTAAGAGGGGGTCGGACGAGTCGGCGGGTGTGCACATTCCATATGCGCATTGTCTGATCTCGACTGCCGCTCACCAAATAGTCTTTGTCGAATTGCAACGCATAGACACACTCTTGATGTCCTTCCTCGGGGAAATTGGGGTGGGGGAATTGAAAGGTGCTGTATTTTCCAAGCTCCCAATTTGCTTCCAATTTGCGTCGCATAGAGTATAAATATCGCCAGTTGATACGGTATTGCGATCGGCCTACATCCCAAATGTAAAGTGGCGATGGCGGTAGAGTGTTGGCTGCGTCGGCAAGAGACATGGGAGATACTGAAGATTCGGGTTCGCCGCTCGGTTCCTTGCGCTTTCCTCTGCTGTCGGAAGACGAAGACAAGGTTCGATCCAAGCTCGGTGTTCTAGAGTTCAAGCCATCAAGATCCATCTCGCCCATTGGTACGATTGCGGGTCTGCTCGACGAAAAGGATGACGAAGGGCTGCCAAACATGCTTCCACCAGACAAAGCATCGCTGGGCCCAGGTGTACGGTCGCGATCGGTCATTTCGAGGTCTTCGTCGGGATTCACAACAGCGCGGATCTTGTTAGGATGGGCGTCTTGTGTGGATTGCAATCGGTCAAGTTGGCGAATCGAGTACTCCAGACCATTATTGACCTTGGTTTCGCAGGCTTCGATCTCGCTCATGATGGTCTTCCACCCCTCCATGTAGTATAGGTGCTCCCAGAGCTTCCTGTCCAGAGCCAACTCATACCAAGCGCGGCATGTTTGCGTGACGCCGACGAGGGAGACGGGATCGAGGAAACCCAGGATCTTGAGGCAGATCTCGGCGGGGAGATATTGGATGAAATCGATGTAGAGTCTCGGGTTTAGACGGTGGACGATCTCGGCGATGACGGACGTAGGTAGGTTATCGAGCAGGGCCATGGTCAGTTCTATACATGTTAGCATCAATGTTGGAGTCCCAGTCAGCATCACATACCTGTCCTGACCTGGAGGGGTAGAAGAGATGAGTTTGCGACAAGCCATGTGCTTAGATCGGATGGAGATCGTAGGGTAGCGAGGGCGGTCGAGAGTTCTTGATTGACGGTGGGTGTTAGGGGGTCCTCGGAGTACCCCTCGTCGGGTTGATGTGCAGGTGAGAAAGGATCCATGGAGGATACGCTTTCGTTCTTATTCGACATTGGAGTTGCAAGGCCTTGGGCCCCTGTTGATGGAGAAGTCCCCCAAGAAAAGAGAGGATCAATATGGGTCGTTGGAGCGGTCAGGGAAGATGATGCGGGTGTTGGAGGTTCAACAATTGGAAAAGTTGAGCGGGAGGACAGTCGAGTGTCACAACAGGACGCGCAACACGAAACAAGAACAAGGTCCGGATATGGCGTCGCAATACAAGGAAATGCGAGATGGATGACCCGAAATAAGGTAATGACGATGAAATGTACGGGTTTTGTTGAAGATTTGTAACAGGGGATTGTAACAGCGGCCGTGATGCGATACGATGCAGATCAGAAATGCAAGGATGGAAACAACGGAGGAACGAATGATTGAAGATGATGCAAGCTAAAGATGTATTGGTTTGGTTTAGAATGGTTTGGTATGGATGGAGATGAGATGCAGAAGGTGGAGGTGGCTCTAGGCTGGTCGTCAATCAAGGCAGGTCCGGGTCCAGGTCCAGGCCCGGGCCAAAACAATGGAGAACCACTCAACACAAGATTGGCTGATGCCACCCATGCCACAGGATACCAGAAATGTCGACCGCTGAAAGCACAACAAACGAAATTAGTAGGCCAGTTCATGGCACTTGACACATACTTTCTAGGCCATTTATTTTTGTAACCTAAATCTCAAAGGTTAACGTTTCCGTTACCCGCCAGCCATGGAATGGCTTACCCTGACCTTTGTCTGTCATTCTGCCGAGAAGGAGCACGGCATTGGTTTGGAATGCATCTCGGGCGATTCCTAACTTACTCTGCTAGCGCTGATCCACTATGAAGCGCTGACGATACAGAACGACAACATCAATTGTCTGATTTTTATTTTTATCTGCATATACAGTATGTAGAAAGTGTTTTTTCAACCGTCAAGCCCCGTTCTTTGGTTGCTTATTTCTGTGCTTTGACCCATATAAGCTCACCAGCTGCATACCTTCGCCCCGTCCATCTGCGGGAAGGTAGATAGAGTTGTGCGTTCTAAACATTGACAACACATCACCATCCACATTCTTGGCAACAAATAAGGTATCCATATCGAGAATCACCATAAAGCTGTGTCGGTATAGTTGCTGTAAACTGACGGTAATATCAAGCTATAATGCCCTTCAATCCATCTCCAACTCTAGTTCTTGCTCCCTGAAGCCTCCAGCCTTCGCCAACTCCTATTGAGCCTCATATAATTCTTCCGCGATGCCCGCCGTTTCAGAAGGGCCAGGGCGCTGCTCCCAAATACTCCATTCCTCGCAATCAGCAGTTGTACGCCCAAAACCTTGGCCTCTCTAAACCGTCCTTGATTCATACATGTCTTAACAATCAATCTCACGGCTTTAAGTGTTTCAGGCTGCTGTTTCTCCATTGTCAACAGCATCCGTTCACCCAGATCATTGGCCTCCCTCAGTTGTCCTTGCTTACCGTATATCAACCCTAACGTCGCCATACATCCTATTATATGTGGATATCTCTCTCCAAGTGCCTTTCTACTTCTCGAATATTTCCACAAAGAATGTTTCGGCGGTATTCAATGCGCGACTTCTCATGTATAAAAGTGATAGATTCTCCATGCTCGTATGACGGATAGAGTTTTCTCCCCGAAGATGGCTTTCTTGGACTCAATTAGGGACTCTGCTAGCTTGTGGGCTTGTTGCAACGACCCTTGCTTGTGCAAAATGTAGATAAGAAGTTCTGTTGCATCGATCAAAATGAAGTGGTTGCTTTCACGTCTTCGGCAATCTTCTATGGCTCTGCGGGCTGTTTCTTCTGCTGACTTGTATCTCCCTTGTGATTTAAGAACATAGCCCAAATCGATCCTGAGTTCGAGTGTCTGAGAATGGTCAATGCCAAGCGAGTCCTCTGCCAAAGACAATTCTTCTCTGATACGCTCTTCATCATCTTGGCGATAACGTCGGGGCAGTTGCTCGTCGGAAATAACGTTTGAAATAGTTGTGTGGGATGTTGAAGAGTGAGTTGCCAGAAGTTGGTTGGCCGGGGCAGGACTCTGTCCAGTAAAAGTAGTGTCTTGAGGATGGGATATTTCCCATCCAGAGAGCATCGGAGAAGGAGCAACGGGACTGGAGACTATCGACGTGATGCCTCTTGGTGAGAAATTCAAACTTGATATGGAATACGCGGGACTGGAAACCACGGAACCACGCTCCGAGATGGTTTGACAACCAACTGCAGATGGAGTGGCTTGAGACTTCAGGTCAACTTCCAGATTCATCGTGTGCGCATAGGGTACATGGGATTGTCTTACATGCTGTAGGGCTGGGAGCATACGGTGAAGTCTGGGAAACATTGTTTCTGGCCATCCAACGGTCGATCTTATGAGGCTCAACATTTCGGCCTCTAACAGTGTAAATCTGCTCCCTTTTTTCGGTTTCATTAATCTTCCTTTGCTGTCGCTTCCTGACAATTGCTGCCATCTCTCGTGGTTTGATGTTTTTGTCTTTGCCCCACTGACTTATACGGGATTGATATTGTCGGGGCCTTAGCAGCAGTTAGTCAATGCTTGCTCCTTGAATGGGGGACGTTCTGGTAGGCTCATACGTAGCAGTGAAGCCACATTCTTTTTCAATCATAGTTATGACTTTGGGTAAGGGTAGCTTCTGTCCGTCGTGAAGCTCCAGAATCAGAGCTTTGTAAGGCTCCCAATCATTGGCACGTAACGTTGGAGCTTTCTTCTTCCGGCGTTTGGGCTGAGGACCCATATGAGTTTCTGTCAACTCAGCATCTCTGAGAGAAGCTATGTCTTGAGGTGCAGAGATGAGTGGCCTTTGGGATGGGTTGGGCAGATGAAACGCTCTAGGTTGGTCCGATGCTAGCTGAGTAGGCACGGGATTGTGTAAACCTGGCCCATTGATATGATGGAAAGTACCATCGGGCTCATAGGTGAATGTTTGAAGTTGTTGGTTGATAGGGGAAAACCGCCCAGAAACATTTGGAAGTATGGGCTGGAAGTTCATCATGAGAGTTGGTGAAGCCGAGAAGGGAAGTTTTGGTGGAAAAGAAAGAAGAGTGCGTTGAGAAAAAGATAAAACAGAGCGGGATGAGTTTGGATATTTATCATAGTGAGATGGTCCTATTGTCTGTCACACCCGAGAGAGAGGGAGTAAGTCGGTCACTCTAGCAGGAAAAGAAGCCAATTACAATCCTCCTCACCTTAGTAGGTTAGTACCTTGGTATTTCGCAAAAGTACTATTCTGCCGGAACCAATGAGAAATGGAATCAAAACTACTATTCGGCCGCCCAATAGAAAAGGAGAAAAACTACAATTTTGCAAGGCATCTGCATAGACGCCACGCCAGCTGGCCATCCAACGCCCAACCACTCAGCATGTCCTTCGCAGTGGCCACCATTAGTTAAGGCTGACACTGTCATTCAGACAAAACTACTATTTCTACACAGAGTGCCAAGATGTTGGCTGCAGGACAAGCACGAGCACAGGGTACCGACTGCATGTATACAGGTACCTTGGTTGGTGGGATGTTTCATCACCTCACGATGAAATAGTAGTTTTGCAACTAGTGTCTTGGTTACTGTGATATTTCATCGCCTCACGAGAAATAGTAGTTTTGCATCAGCGGTGCCTTGGTTGCTGTAACGTTTTGTCACCTTACGGGAAAATAGTAGTTTTGCGCCAGTGGCTGAGCCGTCGACTGGTCGCGTTACAAAGACCAAGTCATGTTAAATAGAGGTCCACAGAGCCCAGTTCCGTAACATGGAGACTCACAACCACATATATCTTGTCCTCTTCAATCTCACCAGTTCAAATATATCTAATTATCTTAAACAAACACAAACCAAAGTTTTCCAAGCATTCTATCATGGACGTACCGAAGACATCCCCGGAAGTCGTCGTCACAATCATATTCGGCATCCTGCAGCTTATCTTGGCACTCGTTTCCCTCTGGCAGCAGCACTACCTTCGTTGGACCAACTGTAAGACCTCCAATGCTTGAACTGTAACGAGGTACTGATGTCGCAGTCGGCCCCAGACTTAGAAGAAGACGAAGCACTCTTTGAGTATGTTGAGATGCCCTGGAGTTCATACAGTCTACAGAGATATCAGCAGGACTTTGAGAGGACTGGAAAGTTGGTAGGGGAGGCTTAATAATAGCCTGGATAGACTGGATCATTACCCTCTCAGAAAATCAATGAAAAATCTTCCACATCCATCTGAAACTCCTCCAATATCGTCGTCCAATCCAACATAGCAAGATCCCCATCCTGCAACCCCCCACCCTCAACCTGCTCAACCTCCCTCTCCCTCTCAACCCTCGCCAAAGCCCTATCCCTCAGCGTCGTAAGAACAGTCCACTTCAACCCATTCAACGGCCCACTCCCACTCTGTCTAAAACTTTCCAAATGCATATCAACAGCCGCAAAAGCCCTACTCGCAAGCGGTCCTCCTGGCCTTACGCACAAGTGTCGTAGAATATACAACATCACGTGGTATTGTGGAAACGCTCTGGCTATCCATCGGTAAGCAACCATGTCTTCATCACGCCACATGTCGTTGGCGAGTTCGAGAAGATCAACTGCTTCAGAGACGTCGGCTTCTGTGGCGAGACATTCGTTGTCGTCTGATTGGCGGAGAGTTTGCCATTGGCGACGAGAGACGAGGTCAACTTTGCGAAGGATTAAACGTGAGATGCGCAGTTGCATTCGTTGTTCGGGAATAATCGGATTACAGCTTTGAAGAATCCCTTCCACTTTATCCATTGATTCTTTTATGACTTGTTTCCTTACTTCTTCACTCGGTAAACCGTCCGGAGAACAACTCATTTGAAATAGTTGAGCCCAAGCGCGAGAGGCCTGGCAGTTGCATAAAGGAAGAGTCATTCGTGTAAAGTCTGGCCTTGAAGGAGGAAGTTCTTTCATGTCCGGAAAAATATCACTGTCGTGTAGATTTCGTGGTAGTTCGACGCTGTACATGTGACCGGAGCCTGCGTTTTGAAGACCGTAGTCTTCGGCGCCTCGACCGTCTCGTTCGAGGAAGTGCCACCATACTCTACGACGGATCTCTGATTCGAAGGGTGATAGACCGAGTTTGGTGCCGTCTCTGTGAAGACCGATTGATTGTGCTGCTCGAAGGGCGAGACCGTTCATGATCCATACTGCTCGACCAGAATTAATGTTGTGAACACGCATGGCTGCCTAGACAGTGTTAGCAGTCTTCTTTGACTCTGATTGAATAAACTTACTGTGTATATTGCAAGAGCTTGTAATAAAGTGATGGTAGGGTTGTTGAGAAAATCTGCTTGGGCTAGTGATTGTTCCAGACAAACCTTGTACCGCTGAAGTGCTAGCTTTCTATCCTCACCCGTATCATTAAGCACATCTTCAGGAGTTGAAGCTGTGACAGAAGCATAATAAATAGCAAAACAAAAGGTCAAGTTTTCAATCGACGCTTTTGTAGGGTCTCTCGTCACCGTGTAGAGTATTGTTTCCGAAGTGGGAAGATGACTGACTTTGGTACAAACGTCGACACTATCGACAAAGATTTTCCATAACCGGATAGCTGTTTTTCTGGGAGGATGATAGCTTGCAAGTGATTCGGTTGAGAAACTGGGAGATAGGAGGGCCATGGGGTTGAAGGGAGAAGAGTTGACGTCGTGGGGAAGTTCGTCTCTTGGCGTTGCCAAGGCTGTTCGTACATCATCTTCCTAGAACATGTGTTAGTTGAAATATAATTAGTGGGTGGGTATATACATACCTGTTCAATAACCCGTGAGAGAAGAACTTCATTAACATAATGACTGTATTTTCCTTTATTCAACAAAAGACCCTCTCGACGTCCCGGAACAGCCTGATTTGAAAATGCATCACTAGCAGTCACATTTCCAGAAATGACAGGGGTGTTTGTTGACGCGACAGAAGGTGTTGTAGACTGCGGCGAAGCAGTATCCTGTTGTGCCCGAAACGACTCAATAGTCTTTTCCATCTGTGAAATCCGACTCGCAACATCATTAATCGTCGTCTTCCTAGCCCTTCTCACAGGCGGTGTAATAGAAGACGGATAAGAACACTCAAACTTGCTCCGAATACATTGCGAACACGGTGATTTCTTGTCACAGCGAACTTTTCGGCGATGACACACAGCACAAGACCGTTCAATGCGACGGTTAGGCCGAGATGACATGTTTTTCGTATCGCCGAGTATCAGATAGATCGGTGAATTGGTTGATAGATTTGATTGATAATATCTCGGTCGGTCTTTGTGTTTTTGTAAGGCCGGCCCCGAGTGAAAAGTCTCGGTGTATTGAATGAATGATGCGGTCTTATCATTTATTTAGCGTCGGTTTCGGCGCCGTAACAACCGCCGAGACCGAAGCAGCCAATTAGAAGATCACAACAAACATCAAACAGAATCCTTTCCTCGCGAGGCGAGATTAATAATTGTAAAAGGGCCGGCAAGATGACCCGATATACTCATTTGATCGTAAGGGTCTTTTTTTTAATCTGGAGCTTATATAGTCACCATCATCCAGGACATAGTTTCTTTTTAGCTTGAGCCTCATCGTTACATTTACTCTTTAACAAAATGGCAGCAGTACAACAGTCACCTCACCAATCGGAACTCACCCTTCAGGGTCAAGGATATGTCAATGAAAAGTCGGATCTTGAAGATGGTATTCCACAACAGCCTGTGAAGCCAGTGGCTGGTAGTGGTGCACCTGATGGTGGTCTCACAGCTTGGTTAGTTGTGCTAGGGGCTTGGTGTACATCATTTTGCAGTTTTGGCTGGATCAACAGTATGTTTCTCTTCTCATCTGCAGTGTAACTTGGTTTACTGACTTTATTAGGTGTCGGAGCATTCCAGGAATATTATCAGAATGATCTCTTGAAAGATTACTCTCCTAGTACCATCGCATGGATCCCTTCGTTACAGATCTTCTTCATCATGGGCATGGGTCCCATCATTGGAAAACTATACGATAGCTATGGTCCTCGATGGCTTATCCTTGTTGGAAGTTTCATGCATGTTTTTGGTATCATGATGGCTTCTATTAGTACAGAATACTACCAGATTCTTCTGGCACAGGGTGTATGCTCTGCTATCGGTGTCTCAGCCATCTTTCAACCAGGTAAGTCACATCTACATTCTCTCTCAAACTCAACTAACATTATCAGCTCTATCTGTCATCCACGGATGGTTCGACTCGAAGCGAGGAGCCGCCTTTGGCCTCCTGTCCACCGGCTCAAGCATCGGCGGCGTCATCTTCCCCATCATGGTCAACCGTCTTATCAAGCAAGTCGGTTTCGGCTGGTCCATGCGAATCTGCGCTTTTATTATTCTATTCCTCCTTACCATCGCCAACTTAACCGTCAAGTCTTTCACACCACCTCGTCCCCAAAAGGTCACCCGCGCGCAGATGGCCAAACCTTTCCGCGAACCAGAGTTTATTTTCTGTATTCTCGGATTCTTCTTTTTCACTTTCGGCATGTTTATTCCTATCGATTATTTGCCCGTTCAAGCGCTACAGGCTGGCGTGAGCCCCGATTTCGCTCATTACTTAATTCCCATCCTCAACGCTGCGAGTCTTTTTGGACGTATCATTTCTGGAATTCTCGGTGACAAGATTGGTCGTTACAACATTTTCATCGTTGTTTGTTATCTATCCGCGATTTGGATTTTGGCTCTTTGGATTCCATGCAACACACAAGACGGTCTCATCGCTTTTGCCGCCCTGTTTGGTTTCAGTTCTGGCGCATACGTTTCTCTCATTGCACCTCTTGTCGCTCAGATTTCACCTATGCAAGAGATTGGTTTCCGTACCGGAATTGTGTTTTTCGTGTCTTCGATCGGTGGTTTGACTACCAACCCCATCAGCGGCGCTATTCTGGAGAGACCCAATGGTTGGATTGGAACAAAGGTTTTTGCAGGAGTGTTTTGTCTCGTTGGCACTACGTTTATCCTTGCTGCCAGAGTCCATCGTGTTGGATGGAAGATCAAGTCTACATTTTAAAAGTATTTTTTGTTTTTATTATTGGTATTTTGGGATACACTTGGATAGATATGGGAATATCGGAGTAGTCATGTTTTACTCAACGCCACTCTGAGCATTGGAATTGGGCTTTAATGAATATAATGTCAACTCAACCATAAGACCGCGCCTTGTGATATCGATTTTCCCAATCCAGTGCCTCTAATCATAGATGACAATCAAGATGTTCTCTCGTCCACACTGGTATCTGCAGTAGAATCCCTCTACCCTTCCCCTCTTCTGTATCATAGGGTGACATCTGCTACGGTAGTCCGTATAGTAAGCAGCATAATCTGAGTAAGATAGCACACCAAAACTGGAATAAGACGGACATTATCTAAAACCCTGACGCACGCCAAGATCCATGCTGTCTGTATTTATTGTGTCTCCAATTCTCCGACTCTTCTAAAGATGTCTCCACATGAGCCGACGTTAATTTTGACTTCTCAAATCAATTAAACTCAACGTCGTATTCAAAAGAGCCTCATCCCCGTTAAATATCATTCGATCTTACGATCTTTTTACTTTCTAGTACAATTTAAAGTCATACCTCGGCTTGCCAATATTGTTGGGTTATCCATCCTCTAGACCAAAGCTTTTTTGGTGAGAGCGGAGCCCAAACGAGTAATTCGTCCGAACCTGTCCAAACATTCTCCGACGGACTTTTCTTTTTTGCAGCGCCCCAACATAATATGTAATCAATCTCCTATTATATTGTACAACGTCAGCAATAGACGTGTTCAATCATCAACTAGTGTCTTTTTTTATTTTCTATAAAACCTTTCTGTCAGCTACTCATTATCTTATTCCACTTCTCAGCTTATTCACATAAAACTCTATTCAAAATGTCGGGCAAAAAACTTCCTCAACTAGCTGGCTTCAAAGCCCTCAACGCCAATATCCTCGTCAGCGAAGATTCACCAGAAAACACACCCTCTGATCATCCAGCTGCTATTCTTATCTACGGCTGGGGTGACGGTCAAGCACGACATGTCGGAAAATACGCAGATGGCTACCGCGCTCTATTCCCTCACTCCAAGCAAATTATTATCTTGAGTCCCATCTCCGATGCCATGTTTACAGGACTCGAGACGCGAATGCGCGCTATGCAGGTTGTCATTGATAACCTGAATGGTCTACTTGATGAAAAGACTGCGCCTATTCTTGTCCACAGCATGTCCAACACTGGCGCTATCAGCTATGCTACCACGCTCAAGGCTTTTGCGGATAAACTGGGTAGAACGCTACCTCATCAGCTTTTAGTTCTTGATTCAACACCCGGAAATCCATTCTGGTCATGGGAACGACTTGGAAAGTGGTCTCACGCCATGGCTATCGGTACTGCAAAGTTCTTCCCCTGGCCTTTTGTTGTGACGAAAGGTATCTGGGGCTTTGTTTTAACCCTGGATGTTCTTTTCAAAAAGTTGATCGGCAGTGAGCCTTCTGGTGCTTTTGCCCTTCGTACTGTCGACGATACTACCTACGAGACTTTGGATTCCAAGAGACTGTACTTGTACAGCAAGGAAGATGAAATCATCTCTCATATGGATATCGAGGGTTACATTGCTGAGTCGCAGCAGAGAGGATATGAGACGAGACAAGAGCTTTTTGATGGTACAAACCATGTTGGACACATGCGTGAGCACCCTGAGAAGTACTGGAAGGCGATTCAAGAGGCGTGGCAATGGAGCAATGATGAATGAGGAATGGAAAAGGATTGGTTTTGTATGATTTGTTGTCATGAATAGCGATTTTATACCACTGGCATAGGGCTTGGTAATGGAAAGTTGACTTTTTGGTTATATACTTGTGGTGTTTGTTTGTATCCTTGCCTCTTCTTTCGTGAAATATGACAATAAACTCCGACTTAACACGGCTTGTAGTATGCCATATGAAAAATAGTACGCTCGAATGGTAAAGCGGGCCTAATGAAGAGCTGGTGTTCATCTCACTATAAATTATTGTCAATCATTCCCATTTCTCATAAGGAGGAGTAAGACTATTCTCTGCCATTTGGCTAGCAGAGCCTCCGTCGCCTTGATCATCGACATTCGATTTTGCATTTACGTCGGCTTCACAACCTTTGCAAAGCCACTGGCTGCCTAGTTCCCACGACAGTGCCGTTGACTGAGTAAAACATCTATGGCAGGTAAGAGTGCCAAGACCGTGTTCCCTTTCATCTCGTATTAGGGGAATCTGAGGTAATGAGTGTTCGGGCTGCGCTAGACTAATATCTGCGCCGAATGCCGGAATATCAGGTAACGGGGCTTCGGGCTGTTCTGAAGTTAGAGCGGTGCTGCCATACACCCAGTTCATAGGCGGCATTCTCTGGGGTATGCCACTTGTCGCAATCAAAGGCGACAGCACATTGTTGGGTCCAAGTCCCAATCTTCGATCAGCGCTATATCTTGTTAGGCTAGTTCTTTGTAATACATGATAACATACTGCCTTGAAATATGGCGATTCAACAGGTCTTGGCGATGGAATGTCCTTCTGCATTCTGGAACAGGGCAGAACAAGTCGCGACGCGAATGGCTGAGCTTATGGCGTCTATGTCCTTCAGTTTAGCAATACGTATACAGAGCCACATAGCTGATGACAAACCTCAAATGTACTTCCCTGCTGAAAGTCTTGGAGAGGTCAGTACCGGTATCACAGCGAAGAACGGGACGTAAATACCTTTGGACACTCATCGCAGTTATAAGAGGCCTGATATCGCGTTGAAGGAGCAGCCAATTGTCTGGTTATCGGTGTCAATTTCACTTGGGGAGGATGAACTTCGGATTGAAGCTGTAGATCGGAGTCTCTTTGTCGTTCAGAGGTAGTATCAAACATTTCCCCGGCAACTTCTGCAGCCTTATTCTGTGAAGGGAGCGGAGGCAGAGGACGTTGATATGGGTGAGCTTTCCCTGGGCTCACGCCACGAGCTTGGCCTGTAATATCCATAATCCACTCATCTTTGTCGAATCCAAACCAAGAGTTTTCGTTTTCGTTTTCTAAGTTCCATATTGACCCATCCAGAATTTGGTTTGCGGAGTCCTCCAAACGGTATTTGAGAGACGGCGACAGTGGTTCTACCAAATCGACTGTACTAGCGGATATATTCTGCCCAGAAAGCATATCGTGTATTCTCTCAGAATCTTCTATGAAGTCCTCCAGACTGGGCATGTCGCCCTTCGACCAGGGAGTGTAATCAGGAAATTTCCCATATTCTGACTTTGAATCCATGGTTCGACTCAGTTTCATGTCCTGTATTGTATTGGGGGACTCAGTCTGCTGCTGAGTATCTTCCCAAGATTTCTGTGTGGTTGGAAGCTTGCCCTTGGCCTTCTCACTCAGGCCTTGCGGGTTCTCGGGGTTCTTATTAGGGCCGTAGAAGTCTATTTCTTCTTTTTCGTTCTCCTCCTCGACAGGCAAATCAGGACTTGGCTGTTTTTGTGGTTCAAGGATTGGGAATAGGCCTGTTGAGAAACGGTCCAGTTCATCATGCCAATCCCACTCTCCATGATTTCTGTCCTCATGTCTCTTGAGATTGGACTTTGTTGTAAAAACACCACGGCAGATTTTACAGACATTCTTAGCACCTGTCCCAAATTTGACACTATTCTGCTCTTTGCTCTCTGATTCTCTCTTTGGATTCTCTATTTCAAAATTTGGAAGCGCAAAAAGGGCCAGCTGCTCGAGATGCCTGCCAACATGTTTGATGTATTTTTCCAAACCCGTGACAGAGTGTCCACACAAAAGACAATGGCCGGAGGTATCTTCCGAGGCAGGCTTTTCACCAAGAGTTGTAACTAACTTGATTTCTCCTTCGGTTCCGCTTGGAAAATGTTGATCCTTGATGTGGCTGCTAAGCTCCTCGGCGGAAGATAATGGTTGCTGGCATTCGAAGGGACATGACCATGATCGCCAATGATATTTGGAAAAATGCAATTGCCAATTGTGGAGACGGCCAAAATCTATATTCGAGTTGGTACAGTTGGAGAAGACACAAATATATGGACGGAGATCTCCAAAAACATGTTGCCTATCAGATGCCATTAGCGCTTGATAACATGGCAGCTTCAAGAACAATTGAACTCACTTCCATTCTGTTCTGGTTCCGGCAGAGATCGTCTTATAGCAGAACGGGCACTCGAATGTGCCATCTTCCGCAGCACTCGGTCGCGGAGGTACTCTTAGCAGAGGTGCAGGTTTATGCGTCTCTTGGTCCGTCCCTTCGAAGGTTGATCCATCCGAGGTAATATAGGACCTCTCCGATATTCCAGAATCCGATCGGATGTCTTCATCAATAACGGAGGCTTGAGGGTCAAACGTAGCCAGCGTTTCGAAGGGTCTAGTTAGAGAGGAAGTGAAACTCCTTGGAACAACCTCTGTATAGAACGTATCGGCCTCGTTGTTTGACGCCAACGTCTTTGCGCTGGAAGGTAATTCCTCATGATGAGCTTGGAGGTATTTGAAGGACTGGCGTCGTCGGGTAATATATCTTCCTAAAGTATTTGCTAACTTATCTGAGATCTTTGGGAACTTGTCTCTGACGTAGGCGATGTCGTGCGGCTCGTAGAAGGAAACATCCTCAGAGGGCCCGACGCCAAGCTTTTGGAAGTGTTCGTGAGTTGCAGGATTCGCAATAGCCACTGAGAGCCGTAAAAGACAATCAATGGCCTCCCCTACGTCCAATACGAGCGTTGAAAATGCCACAGTTGCGGTACCAGATCCAAGATCAGAATCCGAGTCAGAGAACTCCGATTCTCGGTCTCGAGCCGAGTTCGCAGAAGAGGCTTCTTTGTTTTGGGTATTTTGGTGGTCTCGTCCCCTTTCTTGATCTTGATTTAAAGGGTCTGGAGTTGCAAAAGTTTTGGATAACGCATCCTGTAAAGATTCGCATATGTCTATGAGGAGATGTATGACCTGCTGCTGTAAATGGGGAGCTTCCTTAAGCCGACAATCTAAAGAGAAAGGGCCACTCTGGTGAGCTGCCTGATTACCAGCCCACATTTTGAAACGGGTGAAGTCATTTTCTACCGTGGGCAAGAGTTCCCTCAGGGCGGCGCCTTTCGAGGAGCCATCGAAGCTATCCGTTTCGGTAAGAGCGTCTTCCAAGCCTCGGAAGGACTCGAATGTTTTTGCAACATGGCTTGCAATCGACTCTAGTTTCTGATTCTGCTCCATCATGAGACCTGTATCATCTTATGTTCGGCAGATCGAGACCGGAATAAATGTCGAATAAGGTGTTTGTGCTTTGATAATTTGCTGTCAACTTGAGAGGATCGATATGTTGAATCTCACATCAGATGCTTTCCGCTAATCATAGGAAGCAGAAATAACGTGCAAGCTTTTAAAAATGAGGCTCTTGTTGGTTTACGCTGAAAGAGGGGTATGTACCTCAGCGTTTATTGGCAAGGATTTATTGGACTTGTTATATGCAGGCTGTGAGACTCGGCCTCCACCTCACAGACCTCACCCGCAGCCTGACACTCTCTTCCGTTCCTAAGAGCTTGGTTAGCAAACCCAGAGAGCTTTGTTAAGCACAATATCTTGTCATGTCTGGGTTTGAAGTGGCTGGCATAGTCTTGGGCTCGCTCCCCTTGGTCGTCACAGCTTTGGAAGCATACTGCAAATTCATGCGCGAATGGGGCAAAGTACCTTCAGAGCTGAAGAGCCTGAATCGCCAATTGAACACGGAACGGGCGAAATATTATAACGTCTGCGCTCTTCTCATAAGTGACGTGGTACCGCAGCGAGATATTGAGCCAATGCTAGCGAGTCCATTTGGGCCGTTATGGCGAGTCTCTGAAACGAACGATATGATCCAGCAGAGGCTTTGGGATGCCTACAGTCCGTTTGAGGAGACCATCGTTGAGATACAAGAAGCGCTAAACGCTATCATGAGCCGGTTAAGGGTCCAAATATCTGAAGATGGCCAGGTAATACGGTGTATCTCACATACCAACCCGTCGCTAACACTGACAAGGTTGAATGGGTCAACAAGAGTCGCATGACTAGAGAATTCAGAAAGCTTTTGTACCGTGTCCACAGAGACGAGTACAAAGACGATATCGCTACTATTTCCAAGGGCATCAGCGACCTCGAGTCTTTGACTAAGCTGAGTATAAGACTTGAACCTAGTCGAAAAAAACAGTCTCGCGGCAAGCTCTTCAAGATATTACGAGACTTGTCGACCAGTATCTATCGAGCTCTCTGTTCCAGTATCCTCTGCACTGATCCTCATGACATTAGTCTTGAGCTTTCACCACGCCTGATTGAGATCGGGCGCGATTTTGGCGACGAGAAAGTTCTGAAAGACGCACAATTCAAAATAGCCATCTCTTTTGAGATGGTAGAAGGCTCAATAACAAAGCGCTTCTGGGATGAGGTGAACATCAAAACAATAATTTTGGCCGCAACAAAACGATCATGGCCCTTTCTATCACAAACTCAGGCCAAACGTGTCAAGACGGTACCATCTGGAACTGGGCAAAAATTACCAACCACAAATTCGACAAGGCCAATACACAATATCAAATCAGCCATGACCCCATTGAGCTGTCTCACCACAGATGCTGCTTCCGTTAAAACCTGCAACGGAGGGACGCAATCTTTATCAAAACAGCCCCTGAATCTTTGCACGGTTTTGAGAGATGCAAGACAATCACGGCCCGTCTGCTACGGTCAGCTCATCGATACAGAGTGTGCTGGTCGACATTTCAGGATATATCCATTAGGAACTACAGTCAACAGTGATGGCTGGTCGATAGTGACTCTAAGTGACATTCTCGAGGGCAAAAGAGGTCTCAAGCCGTTGATTTCTCTCGCTGAGAAGGTTCGGCTTGCGCTTGCCATCGCATCAAGTGTTCTTCAGTTAAGCAAAACCCCATGGCTCCCAGAAGCTTTGACAAGAAGAAACGTGCATTTCTTCCGAAGAGACGAAACCTTTTCATACAACTACCCTTTTCTGCTACAAAGTTTTCCAGCAAGCCCACTCCCACTTCCAAATACCACCACTACATCTAGATACCCCTCGTTAAACAACCCCACGCTGTTTGCACTAGGGATTCTCCTTCTAGAGATAATACTTGGGCAATCCTTCGAGCAACTTCGACCTCTGGACGAGAAGCCGATCTATGGTGACTACGACGGTGTGATTCGAAATTCAATCGCGGCACACAAACTGTTGGAGAGGGTTGCTTTGATTAATACGGCGTATCAAGCTGTTGTGCAGAGATGCATAGACTGCACTGAGACTCGTGGGTTGGATGAGGATGGGTTTAGACAGGAGGTTTACAACGATGTCGTTCTGGAGCTTGAGGCTATTCTGGAGTCGACCAAGTTGGGTACGTAGTAGGTAGGTATAGTCCGGGAATAGCACTACTGCAAGACTGAGGTCGGAAAGGGTACAGCAAAAAGGTACAGTGGATCCATGCTTCTCGGGAGCTTCCAGCCTTGGTCTAGACTCAGGATGAGCTTGAGTGGACTCGGATCAAGCCGACGTCTACCTAGTCAAGTTTAAGAATGAGGAGAGCAAAGCTATTCTCCCTTGTTAGTCTTGATTTGGTATCTAAACAGCCTCTGCGGTGCTTGAAGTAGACCCGTCGAGGTTTGATTCGAAACCTCTTCAAAATCAAAACGTTCTGAAATCAAAACAGGAGAATACACTTCGCAGCTCAGCATGTTGTGGATATCATTTATAGTCGTGCGAACCCCAAAGTAACCTATCGAGCTTCCCAGAACATGACATATATCTAAAGAACAGAAGCCTTCCAACTCTCATAAAACTTCAAATCTGGTTCCTCCGCCTCAGCACCCTTCATCTTCTCATCAGCATAAGTAACAGCAAAGTTCTTAAACCGGTCCAAATCAAAATCATGCGTCCAACCCTTCTCCTGCAGCGCCTGGATAGCATCCATGATCCACGTCACGGAACTCTGCTGCGGATTCGTGTTCTTCAGAGGCAAAGGGATCCCTTGGAAGAACTCTCCCAGCTCCTCACCCGACACCTCGTCGGGCATCTCCCCGATGACAATCCGTCCCAGTAGCTTCTCATGGCGCCGCGGCGTAATGTCCAGCTCGGACCGGAACCACCAGTCCATGGTAGGGTTGTTCATGCGAAAGGTGACGGGGTTGATGTGCGATGCGTCGGTGGCATCGAACGAGTGACAGTTTTCAGATTGACCTCCCTCGGGTATGATCATGATGCTCCAGTGATAGGCCTGCTTGTCGAAGACTCGTCGAGCATTCCCGACGGAAAAGTGGTCTCGATGGTGCAGAGCTACTGTGACGAGTTGTACCATAATGGTAAGCTGTTTGTTGATGCCCACATTAGTCAAACTCTTATTTTTTGCCTTTCCCTTCCTTGCCCAAAAGTATTAAGCCGGGGCCGGTCTCGCTCACCTTTTTTTTTATGAGAAACGAGCGATATATATATCCTAAAAGATCTTTTGGATAATTAGTTTTGAGCCGCAGACCGCCAGATGATTTGGACGCGGGGTGGCCTACTTCAATGGGAAGTGATTGGCCTTTTAACCCACTGTTGATGATAGCCGAGAATCTACGAATCAGCATCGATTATCAACATCCGCTTTTTAACAAAATTATGTGTTTTGGATGAGTTCAGGTATAGGCGATCCTCAGATATTAGAAACACAATGGACGAAATTAAAAGGACAGCTTATGCTATTTAGACACCACTTTTGGGTCATTTATTTTTGCATCCTGAAACTTGATCGACTATTCTATCACCTATTAGACGATGTTACTTTGAGAGTTCGTATTTGAGTTTGTATCTATTTGCTTAGATCAGGTGCTTTAATTGTTGTCATCATTAGCTGTTGCCACTGTTTTGTTGTGAGAGTCTTGAAGGCCCAACGCTGCCCAAAGAGGGGACTTTTGTCATGACAGCTCTGAGTGAGAATTTAATTTGAACTAACAAAGAACTTCTCGGAGTATTAGAAATTCTATATCCATCACCATTATTAATTCAAGACTACTACTGAGAGCAAAGATAACGATTGTGACGAGTCTAGACTGATAAGTTGTATAGATACAGGGTAGTCAAGTTTCACGAATACCCAATGAGGGCATCCTGAGATGGAGTGAAAAGAATCACTATGCCATCTGATGTCATGTTTTACATCCTCAGGCTCTTGTTCAAATGCCACGTGCAATGTGTGGGGTTCTTCTGCAGAGATGAAGCTCAATTATCACAATAGGTGGACGATCAACGAATGTACGCATTCGTATATGCGCCAAAGCTTAAGCGCCATTGAAACACACAAAACAACACTTCAAACCTCGGCATACAAGACTACTCTCGTGCATGTGCATATGCGCATCTACGATTGATGATGCGTTCGAAACAGCCATCAATCCGGCCCAAAACAACGTTTCAAGATGCGCCACGAGGAAGCCACCGAAATGTTGTTATCCAGAAACCCACAAGGCTGGAACACAAAAAACATCAAAATGTGGAGGTTTTTCTTGAAACGAACAAAAAAGCCCTCTAACTGATGACGGACGTATTTCCACTTTTGGGTTGCGCATGAACTCTACCTCTCTCCACTGAACGCAGTCGGGATGATCTAGCGTACAAGACTACAAGTCAAAAGATATGCAGACTAGACCTCGGGGATTAATGACAATACGAGCTTTGTTTTGTTTGGTACTTATCATTGAATGCTGGGAAAGAAAGTTCCATAGCGTTCGGGTGATGGCTAATACGACACGCAGGGAAAGGATACTTTAGAACGGTGACGGTGACAGGCGCTGATCGTTTACGAAATCTGGTTAATCCCCGAGACGCTTGTGTGAATGATCATCGTTGCGTTGCAGTTGAGGCATAAAAAGAGACATGCAGCAAGCAAAAGCGGGAAGTAGAATGTTTCAAGCTACTCAGTTTAGTCTCAAAGCGTGAGTTTTGGTAGTTCTTCTCCTTCCAAATTGGCTTGTACTGTGTTGGATCGAGATAAAAGAGAGGTAGTTGTGCAAGCTCATCTTCATGAAGATAACTTGGCGTGATTGATAGAGAGAAGCTGTAGATGGTGCATTGAACCGGTCGTTTCAGATTGCCATGTGCCGCAATGCACGGAGCACAACTTGTAGGTAGGTCGATTAGTCTCCCCGCTACAGAACATTCAATTTAAATTGTGGTAGAACCAACAGACAGAACCAAAAGATCGAGGAACCGGGCTCCACGTCCGATAATCTTTTCGAAGGTTCCATGAAACCTTCTCTACCTTAGGGGAGAAGCTAGCGAGGTGCGCTCCCCCTGAGCTTGCAGAGATGAAGACTCCATGATGTAACGCAAGGGGGGCAATTGCTTGCTTCTTTTTAAAGGGTCTTTTTGTTCTTTCTTTCTTTGTTGACGGATAGTTTCGGGGATTAATAGATTGACCGAGTTTATTGATTGAAAAGAAAATATATCGGATATCTGCGTTGCTTTTTATGCAGAGATCTGCTGAGGAATTGCTTTTGGAGGCGGACAATTGCGATTCGAGGTGATTAACCGCCACAGTCAGTGCGACATGGCGTTGCTTTGAACGGTAGATTGAGCCTTGATAATCAAGACGGGATAGAGTTCTTGATAACGTGTCTACGTTACTTCTCGGGCCGTATCGATTTCATGTGTAATTGCAACGCGGAATTCTTTCCTCCGATTCCATCAACAATTCATGCAAACGCAATCAACGTATGTACATACTGTACGTCCTTCCAGAAGGAAGAAGGGAGGGGAGGGGAACCACACCACCACCCATTCTGACGGTTTCAGGGGCTTATCCATGTCAAGCCATGCTTTCTCGAAGCCCCTCTTCTGTCTCTCTCTTCTTCAGGCCCTCTTTTGGGCGTCAATCTTGTTTTGGAAGTAATTATAATTCCCATGTGATGGCCATAGTCATGACAGCAAGATTTCTTGTATTTTAGCTTGAGTCTAGTTTAGTTTACGGTGATGTGATAGATACAAAATGGATGGGAATTTGGGATTAGGACCCCTGTTGATCCCTGAATCATAAATTCTGGTCGAACATGGATTAGAAGTGGTTTAGTGAATGCTTGGTAACACAATCAATACTGTGACGACCATTCCTTTTTTCTCTTGAGGATCAGGGTCCGGTGCGATTCATGCATCTGCGTCTTGTCAACAAGGGATCGTTGTTTCTAGAAACCTTCTTTTTGGTCAAAACTTAATTGCCACCGATCTGCCCTAGAAAAAAAAGGGAAATAAAAATATCATCTTTGATAGCAATTCCAGAAACAAAGAGTGAGAGAGAGAGAAAAAGATGGCTTGGGCTAGTTTGAAACAGAATCACTGGGGAAAAGAAGTTGTTAATGCCCAAAGAAATGCACGTCCCCTAAAAGTCAAGTCACTCATCGCACGGACTCTATCGGTTGGAGTTGCGCCCTGTGGTACAGTGTCGACAGTGCTGTAGTACGCACAGTCTATCTTGATCCCCTATTTCCCCTCCAGATGGTTTCTCTCTCGATCAGATGTTGTTACACAGATTTTACATGAACTACCTATCTAATAGTTGTCGAGTCAATCATCGAATCACAACCAGCATGTGAACAAATGCATGCCTTCCCAATCAACTCAGCGCCTAGAGAGTCACGCCTAGACATCTACTCACTGAACCCTCCACTCAACTGGCTCCAGCTCCAGCTCCAGCTCCAGCTCCAGTTACAACGCCAGTAGCCCCCCCGCTAAACAGTCCCGTAGCGCTTCCGGTCCAGCTCTCCAGCCAGTCCAATCCGTCCATCTTCCTTCCTCCTTTAAACATCTGCCGTTTGGTTTAACCTAAATCAACGCCCAGCCCAGCCTCGTTTGCTTTCTCTTCGTCTCCCCTTTGACTACAGACTCAAGAGGCAAATCGGATTTAAACTTTTGACGATTAATTAATTCTGTTCCTCTTTGTCTTTATTACACATCGGACTACTTGGCCCGCCTGCCAGAATTAGAATTAGATCTCTCTTCAACACCGGCATCGTCGATCCGCTCCTCTGAACCCCCCTTCGATCGCTCCACCGCCTGACCCCGAGACCACCTCTACACTCTCGACCAGCCATCACCAGGCCCGTACTACCTCCTGTATAGCTGCCCATTTTCGAAAGGGACCTCCACCCGCGATCCGTCTTTTATCCCTTGTCATCGCCTTTGCCTCACGACTCTCAACGATTCAACACCTTCCTCAACCCCTTACCCCGCCTGTCTGGCTTAGTATCTACTGCGAAAACTCCAGCGCCCGCCAAAGTCTTACGATTCGATTCGATTCACCGCCGAATGACGTCGAACCGCTCGTTGAAACGTTCCTGAGTCGACGCCAAGCGACATTCCTAGACATTCATACCAACCCAGACAACCGTCCCGAACCTCCCTCGACAACCTTGCGTCTTCTCGCATCTCCCTGCCGCTGTCGCCTACCCATTCTCCCAACGCTTCCTCTTTCGACGGATGGCGTAGAAGGCTATGGCCCATGCCCCGTTGCTTCGAAATAATACAACTCCGGCCTTTCAGCCAAACTCCAACGGATTCGGTGGCCTTCCGCAGACCAGTATGAACCATGCGCCGCGCGCCAGCCAGCTTTCGGGCTCGACAGCCTACACCGGCTCTTCAGCTTCCTTGAGCTCCCTCGCCACAACCATCACACCTCAAAATGGCGGTCCTGTCCATGCTACGGCCAACATCATTAACCAAAAGGCCGATGCTTCGCGATCTTTGTACCAGATCTGCATCTCCCTCAAGCAGCGCCTAGCTCAAGTCCCCAACTTCGGCCCGTATCTCGACGAGCTCGACCCCACGGATCCTGTCGATCCTCTATGGAACCTCTTCCGCTCCGGATACCCTCTGCTCCTCATTTACAATGCCCTGCGACCAAATGAGGAGCTCAAGGTCGACGACTCTAGCGCTAATGAAGCTAAGAAGTCCAAGATCGCCATCTTCAAATTCGTTCAGGCATGCATGAAAGACCTAGAGATCCCCTCATCTCAGAGCTTTGTGATCACCGACTTGATGGGTAACGACACAAGCGGTTTCGTCAAGGTTGGTAATTCTTTTGTGACAATGTGAACCAGGCTCATTAATTGTATAGGTTACTCAAGTTGTTAACTACGTCTTGGACCGAGCAGAGGAACGCGGCTATCTCATGCAAGCTCAACCTGATATCGAGAGTAACGAGCCTACCGGTGGAAAGATGACCTACCGAGATCATATTATCAGGGAACTAGTCGACACCGAGCGAAAATACGTCCAAGATCTCGAGAATCTCCACGACTTGAAAAAGACACTCGAGCAGCAAGGCGAAATTCCCGGCGATACGCTGCATCAGATTTTCTTTAACATCAATTCAATCCTCGATTTCCAGCGCCGATTCCTCATTCGAGTCGAGACGACAAACTCCATGTCTGGCCCGGATCAACGATGGGGAGCTCCGTTTATTCATTACGAGGATGCTTTGATCGACATTTACCAGCCCTTTATCGCAAACCAGCGCAAGGCCGCAATGGTCGCCAACCAGGTTTTCGACAAGATTCAACGTTCTTCGCACCCTGTCGCAGCCGATTACAACACTCTCGATGGTTTCCTGCTCAAGCCCATGCAAAGACTGGTAAAATATCCGTTATTGCTCAAGGTGGGTTGATGCGCTTCACAAGGTGACCAGCAACTAACACAAACCAGGATCTTAATAAGAAAACTGAGGATGAAGAGATCAAGATGGACCTGGCCAGCGGTTGCGAAGCTGCTGAACGAGTTTTGTCTAAAGCCAACGAAGCAGTCAACCGTGACCTTTTGGACGAAGCTGTCGAGGATCTTACCGGCCGTGTGGAGGACTGGAAGAGCCACAAGGTGGAGCAATTTGGCAAGCTCCTCCTACATGGTGTGTATGGAGTCATCACTGGAAAGACGGATCAAGAGAAGGATGTAAGCTGGCTCTCCCCAAACTCACCTGAATTTTGCTAACGCCTTTAAGTACGAGATCTACCTCTTTGAGTCTATCCTTCTGTGCTGCAAGGAAATCTCATCAAGCAAGAGCAAGGATAAGAAGGACAAGTTGCGCTCGGCAGGCCCCAAGGTCCGAAACAAGAACGCCAAGCTTCAATTGAAGGGTCGCATCTTTATGACCAACGTGACCGATATCGTGTCCTTTACCAAGCCAGGTGAGTTTTGGATCGGGCGCCCTGATCAACAGAACTAATTATTTGCAGGCAACCACAGCGTGCAGATCTGGTGGAAGGGAGACCCAGGTGTTGAGAACTTCATCATCAAGTTTTTGAACGAGGAGACCTTGAAGAAATGGGTGAACACTCTGGAGACTCAGAGGAAGCATAATGTGCCACGCCAATCAACAAACTCGGACACGCTTTCAACCGACTTTGCCTGGACACGAGATCAAGTAGCTGGCCTGGAGAATCCTTATCTGCAGGAGAACGACGACGACGACGAAGATCTTGGTCCAGCAACAGCACCTGCCGGGTTTAGTGGAGTCACTCATCCTATGAGCTTGGGTCCTAGAACGGCTTCAAGCAACAACCTTCGTGCTCGAGCAGGAACTGGCGAAAGTTCTGCGTCTCTCGCCGGAATGGTTCGCGCTCCTCCACCACGATTCCCTTTGCCTGCACCACCCGGATCACTCAGCCTTCAAACTCCAGCAAACGGTGCTCACTCACCCGGTGCCTGGGCGGGCGACAGTTATTTCTCTCCTGTCACTGAATCGCCAGCTTCCACAAGGACAAGCACTACCAGTGGGATGTTTTCAACACCTCAATATGGGTTCCCCAAGAGTGCCACTCCCAACCCACAACAGTGGGAAGATGCCAATGGCAACCGATACACTGCTCCCGCCATGCCCCGTGCTCCGTCCCGCGATGGTCCCTCACCAAACCCCAATCGCAATCCCCGAGGACCCTCTCTGCCAGCAATGTCTTCCAGCAGCCAGGCCGCTTTGGCGGCACAGCAGAGGAACCGTTCGTACAGCACTCCCGATATTAACGGACCAGGAATGCCACGTACTCGTCAACCTAGTCACGGAAATATCCCAGCAGTGCCTGGCATTCCTCAACACTTGCACCCTGGCCACAACCCCAACCTTTCTCGAGACCAAACAGGATCACCCAGGATTGATCAGCCCACTCGAGCCCAGACGAACAGCCCTGGAGCTCAGCGAGAGCGAATGCACAAGCCTACAGGAAGTGTGGGTGGAAGCATGAACCATTTCCCCGCTCAACCAATTCACCCGCGATCTATCACACCAGGTGGTGGAAACCAGGTACTCCGGGTTGACCCTGCTACTGCGAACTCACGAACGGTATCCCCGGCTCTTGGTACAGCAACAGTGCCACCACCATCAGCAAACCCCTTGAGTCCCGAGATGCCTCTACCAACCCAGCTCAAGGTTCGAGTGAACTGCGAATCAGGCAACTACGTTACTTTGGTGGTGGCTTTCAACATCACCTACCAGTCTCTAGTCGACCGCATCGATGCTAAGCTCGCCCGCTTCACCACTAGCAGCATCAGCAAGAACATGCTCAAGCTGCGATACCGCGACGAAGACGGCGACTATGTTGCCATCGAAGGTGACGACGACATCCAGATCGCCTTTACCGAGTGGCGCGAGGGAGTCAGGAACATGTACTCTGGAGGCGTAGGAGAGATAGAGCTCTTTTGCGTCGGCGACACAGCCTAGACTACCCACCACGCGCGCGCACCCAAATGTCGATTGACACCCGGAGAGGAGGTAGAAATGGTGCATTGTGCTTGGGATACCCACGGATCATTACCGCATTTTTCGGCGCACGGAAAAAAAAAAGAAAGACATCATACATTTTACTTCGAAACTCAACATATCAATACCATGATCAAGGCACGATAACGAACAAACCAAGGGCGTCTGGACGGCCGGACATTGGCCGAATCATACCATATAGACGGCAAGCGAACTCGACTTTTCGAAACACATCTCCTTTTTTTGTCATTATCTAACGAGAATTGCCAACTCGAGCCACTCTTTCGTCCTATGGACGCATTTTTCTTGGGTTACTTTTTGATCTGGGGTGGTTGTCTGACATACAATGGTCAATTCGCATGCGCCCTCATCAATGAGGCATTGTCATGCGTCTTAATAGCATGTCATGTTAGATGGCCGTCTCACCCCATGGAGTCATTATTGTTCGGTTCCTAAGATCACATTACATCACATCAGTTTCATTTTTTTTTTCATGGGTTTCGGCGCTACTATTAAGATATGGGGGCGTTTTCTGTTCATTATCCGTCATTTTTCTTTTTTTCTGTTTCGTTTCTGTTCTTTCTTCTTTTCCCTCCCGGGTTGTCGTTCCTTTTGTCCCCTTCGTTGTGTGTGCATAGAAAGGAAAGAAGAAGGCGTAGGGGAATTATGGGCATTGGGCGTGCGTGCGCTTCATGATGGGCAGTAGTAGTTAGAGTTGTGGTTGTGGGTTAGAGTAAGAGAGAGGGTGATTTGCAGAGTGAGTGAGGTAGTTGAAATGCAAACACTTTGAATGAACAATGTTTCTGTTCTGTGATGTAGATTTGCATGCCGTGGGTGTAGAATTGACTCCTTTGGAAATGTCATTCACTTCATGCGCCGTGACGTTGTCTTGAGTTGTAGTCATTCGTATTGTGATTGTACAGAGATATTTATACATCTCCTCTCCTTTCCCCTTCTGTCCTCTTCTCTTCGTTTTTCCATCCCCGTACGGGTATTGTTATACAGCAATTCTCCCCCTTCCCTTTCCATCCAATTCGTTCGCTCGTTCGTTCGTTCGTTCGTTAAAGCAGCGCTCTTTTTCTTCCGCCCAGCATTCCCACTCCACCCTTGTCGTTCTTTCTTTTGCGTTCAGAGTCCCGACCTCTACTTCTGCTTCCTAGGTCCAGTCATGTACTTTTGCATACGCGACAAATGGTAATTAATGGTATTCGTAGGCGCAGGAGGAGCAGCGGGTCCATCCATGCATTTTCGGAGTTGGGTTTCCACTGCTGCGCAGCCTGTTGCGTTGTAACCTGCTGAGGCCCAGCATGCTGTTTAATCGTTAGCCACTATTTTCCCTTCCCTTATCATCATCTTCTTCCTTTTCCCCTTCTCGCGCTTTCGTTTTCTTGGTATTTGGAGGGAAACGGGGAGAGGGGACGTACCGAGAACACTAGACATGATAGCAATACACGGATTCTCTACTTGACGCTTTGGATTGTGGACTCGTAGAGTCTTCAAAGGGGGAAGACGAATTGCTTTGTGATTGCCAACCATTTTCGCGATTGTCGAGGGGGGTTGAGACGAGCTGTATTGGATTGACGGGTAATTGGGCGATGACTTGAGGGTCGTGATGCGGGAGTGGAAAGTTTGGAGTTGATCACGTGTTATGATGAGATAAGATAGTGGGTGATAAGATTGCGCGGGAATAAGTGCCTCTGTCAATCATCACTCCCAGATATAAAATCCCCAACTGGCTGGTCATGTCAAGGCGAGTATGATCTCTACGGCTACGATTGTGGTTGTAGTCTTAACCAGGCACACTCATGATGTGAGTAACGAGCAGCAAAAAGGAATCGAGGAAAGACGCAAAAAGGTAACTCCGGTACAGGGAATCGAACCCTGGGCTCCGCGGTACTGATCTCTCAGGTTATGAGAGCGCGAAATGTTAGCCACTACACCATACCGGAAATCGAGAATGGTGATTGTTGAGATTTGGTCTGCGGTTTGGGGACCATGTAGCAATGGTCAGGGTCAGAGGGCTGCGCCACGGAATATTCCTGTTGGAGCGTATCATGTTAGGTGATATCTGATGGCTGTGTTACTTTCAACGTTGTGCTGTTATTTAGAGGATCAAGAGTCGCTATTAGACTTCGGAAGCCGAATGATCAATTTATTCGCAGGATCAAAGTTGCATAACGTTGTCTTGTGTCAAATGTAAACTTGGCTTAAGCTGCCATGAGTTAAACTGTCTCCCGGCTTTCACCACCAAGCAACCTCAAAATACAACAGAGAAAAACAATCCATTCTCAAAACATATTCTGCCTTGTTGTAAATCACTCCCTCCGCGTGATATCTAATGTTACTCTGCTCGCCACAGATCCCCAAGCACAGCCACAAACCTGCCACACTCAGTCTGCCAAGCTTGTGACGTCTGCCAACAACATCCATTCAGGCCCAATATCATTCCTTGTCATTACATGACATTTAGTAAAACGTGTCACTGTGAAATGAGATCGACAGACCAAGAGAATCCTTTGTGACATCACCACGTATCCTCCCAGCGATACAACGCACCCCATTCACAGCCAGCACAGTGATGAATCAATGCAGCATCTGTAAGCGGCGACTTGTACCGCTTAGGTATGACCTCAAGATCCCAGCTTGCCAAGCATGACCTTTTAAGGCTGTGTGATGGAGTAGAAGAGAGAAATAGGCAAGTTCCGAGAACATCATTGCCACTTGCTTGTTATGATGGGTTTATGTATAAAAACTCAAGCGCAAGAAGGTTCCTGATATAGATAGATCGTGTCAGACTTCTTTTTTAGTGCCAACCCAAAATATTACTACTATTCACAATGGAGAAACCTAGTATGTTATTGATGTACTTGACGAGTGGAAGTATTCAACTAACGAGATTATAGCTGTTACTCAGAATAACTACAACCAACCTGAGCATACTCAACACCAACCTGAACAGCAACAGCAGCAGCAACAACCGCCGCAGTACGATAATCGCGACTATAGTTCTCCTCTCGCTCAACCACCACTTACAAACCAACCTACCAGTCCACCAGCGACACACCAGCCACAAGGTCAAGATGGAGGCTTTCCACCAGCGCAGCAGCAGAATTACCAGAGCATGCCCATCCAGAACCTACAGAGTCAGAGTGCACCAGTAGTCTGTCCTAGCTGTGGCGTGAGAGCCATGACTGTTACAAAGGCCGAGTCTGGAGGAATGATGCAGTAAGTAAGACACTACCCACGAAACGGTCGTATACTGATTTGAGTGTAGTGCTGTCGCTGCGGGTGTATGCTTTTTTACTTGTTTGGGTTGTATTCCCTATTGTATCTCTTCGCTAAAGGATGTTCATCATCAGTGCGGAAACGTAAGTCCACTCGTATCGAGACTTAAACATGGTGTGCTAACGAGAATAAGTGTAACATGCCGCTTGCTGATTACCACCGAAGTGGTAGAACTGAAGTGCGCTGCTTTCAGAAGTAATAGATACTGATACTGAAGGACCACGAGAATGTTTTGCTTTGAGTTGGTTGCGACAAGATACCACATGGATTATTTACTTTTGCTGTTAATTGAATCTTGATCTCTACGCATCAGACTACACAGTCAACATTCGAGTCTTGACTTGTGTTTGATTTGTGATGTCACTCGCTCTATATTATACATCGCATCTCCATCCCATACACCAACTAACTGGCTCTATCGTTACATATCAATTGATTTAAACAACGTCAAACTTCTCCTCATCCAGATCCATGCTCTCTGGAGCAGGAGCGCGAGGAACACTCCTCAATGCTGCCCAGCCTGATTTCACAACAGGTTGCTGAACAGGCTTTGGTGGTGGTGTAGGCTCTTTCTTCACTTCTTCCTTGACTTCCTCCTCCTCCTCCTCTTCTTCCTCCTCAGCTTGCTCATCACCTTCTTCGACCTCTTCCTCTGCATTTTCTTCTCCCTCCTCATCGTCATCATCTTCGTCATCCTCGTCATCATCATCACTATCGTCATCATCAGACTCTCCTGAACCGTCAGAGTCGGCATCACTACCAGGATCGTAATCTTCCTCATCCTCGTCCTCTTCATCTTGCAGCGCTTGCTCGGCATCTTGTTGCGCCTTTGCAAGCTCCGAGAGGTCACCACCAGCTTCTGCTGCTGTCTCCTCACCTTCTTCAGCGCCCTTCTTTGGTCCTCTGTTTTCAGCAAGCTCAAGCTTTGCCTTTCGCTGCTCTGCCATACTTCGATCCTGTAGACGCTTGTTCTTGATGTAATCGTCAATGCCGCCATAGTCTTCTTGGTCAATCATAGAAAACTCAACCTCCTCTGTCGCATCGCCCTCACCTGCAAACACCTCAATCGCAATGTTGAATGTTCGCTGGAGAATATTTGTAAAGCTTGTCGCAGCGATTCGGTTTAGAGGTATAAACATGAGCGGCTTCTTGAAACCCCAGAGAATGCCAGTCTCGAGGAAGAAGAGGTATCCATCTTTGGAGCCCCTGAATGCCTTGACATGAACGGCCTTTTCGCTCGGTCTGTGAGGCTGTCGCACCATGCTCTGGAACTTGTTGGGGTTTGACGCAACGATATCAATGCCAATGGGCTTGAGATGACGGTTCAAAGCCCAGTGGAACAGAGACTTGTAGCTGTCCGATACGGCTGCCGCACTTCCAGCATCAGGTCCACCTATCGTGCCTTGCTTAGGCGCCGTCGCGGGTACTGTAAAGACAAGCGGCTCCTCGGTCGGGGGGTTCGTCTTGGAGGGAAGGCATGTTCCTCGTGGGAAAAGGATGTAGTTATGCTGGACCTGGTTCTTTTCGGGTACGGGGAGATAAAAGGCGTATTCTAGCAATGAATTAGCACGTAAACTTGAACAGCACGACAGCAACGCGTACCAATATCTGACCACGCGTATGTAATGGCTGGAATAGGAGCTGTAGTGTTTGGCGCACGAGCGTAAATGTGACCGTCGGTAAAACACAACTCAAACTTCTTCCTCTGAGGTACAGAAACAGAGATTTCTTTGATTTCGAGCAAGACAGTCTCGTCGGCGGCATTAGTCGCTACCTTGGCAGGAGGTTTTGTGCCATTCGCGGCTCCGTTGGTTTGTTGGAGGTCGACTCTTCTCTTCTTGTGGGCGGGTTCAGTGCTTCCACTTAATAATTGATCATATACATGGGCCGCAATTCCGTTGAACAAGGCGATTCTTGTAGGAGAGTCTTGAATATCGTGTTAGAGTATAGTAAACATGTCGTCAGGGGCTGTTGTTTACCTGCTGCTTTCTGGATGCCAGACAGAATATCAGGCCGGGTGCCAAATACTGAGCCCAGCTTTTCTGTGTCGAGAGTTTTGCCCATATTTGGTCTCGTATAAGTGTCAAGGTATTGAGACTTTTATTTTGAGTGGAAAAAAGATAGTGTTTGGTGAAAGAATTGTTTACTGTTGGTCGTGGCGATCAAAGATGCATAGGTCATCATATTTCCTTGGATTGCGATAAGATAGCGATTCATGATGAAGAGCGCTTATTAGTCAGGCGCTAGGACATGCAGTTTTTAGTGGTTTTACAGGCGCTGTCTTTGACTTTCAGGGGATTGTTCACCCTATCAGCTTTCTGACGTCAGGCGACCCGCGCTTCAATCCCCGCGACTTTGAAGCTGCCCAATTCACGACCACAACATCTGAGGTGACACTGACTCACTCTTGTCACCGTCACTGTCATTTTCTCTTTGGTATCAAGACATTCATCATGTCGACCACATTCCCAAATCTCTACACGCACCGCAAGGTCGCTGATTCAGCAGCCAAAGCGTGTGACGTTTGCTACAAGTCAAGCACATCCGTCTTAATCACTCCAGACAAGAAGGTATGCCTGATGAGACATCTCAGGGCCAAGCAAGGCAGCTAAAACATTTTAACTTGAAAGCTCATGAATTCGCATTGGTAGGATTTCTTCTTTGTTTGTCCCGTTCACTTGAAGGATCGGTATTTTGCGACACCAAAGATCGATGAAGAAGCTGCCAAGAAGAAGCGCGAGAAGGAATTGGCGGAGGAAAAGGAACGTGTCATGAAGGAGTACGAGGAGAAGCAAAAGAAGAAAAAGGAGAAAGAGTCAAAGAAGGATGACAAGGATAAGGACAAAGACGACAAAGATAAGGATAAAGAAAAGGACAAAGATGAGAAGAAGGATGAGGACAAGGTGAGTTTGACACACAGCAAACGATTATTAACTAACCATTGGTCAGAACAAAGAAGAGAGCAGTCCTGCGCCTGAAGAAGAGCCTCGTGTATTCGAGTTGAAGGCGTAAGTCTATTATACCTCTCATGTGTCAAGATACTAACACCACCTAGCGCCTTTTACCAACAGAGACTGTTGAAGAAGCGACAAGCCGAAGCTGCGAAGCTGGATCGGGAGAGATCGTCAAAGCCAGGTTATTTCCCATCTGTGCCATCAGATACTCCCAGTCGATGATGGGAAAGACGACACTGCATCACTCGACTCGATCATTATGCCTGACATCAGAAGCCCCAGGTTTGCCATCGTCTGTGTAGGGGTGGCTGTCAGAGCCTCATGATGCGCCAGAGGTTGATTCGCCTCACCGGGCGGTGCGCCCGGGACAGGGGTGTCGCTCATTTTGACGTCTGATGCTTGGCTTTCGATGCGACCGAACGTGTGTGGGAAATGTCTTGTAAAGACGGGATGTTGAAGTGTTGTGCTAGCAGTGAGATGTAAGGGAGTGGTTTGATTGTAGGGGTGGGAACTGTGTTGATGTTGAGGATGAGTTCTGGTTGCTCTCTGATTCTATTTTGTTTTCCATTTTATTTCTGCCTGACGTCTGCGCTGCTTCTTAATATGATGCACAATACTGCTGTCGCAGAGTATTGACCGACGTAGCCATCTATTCAAGGCTGGGCTGAGTCCATGATGTTCTATTAGACAGTGGCTTCCCCCTTTTTAGTAATCCAAGTAAAGAATAGCTAACTAGGTAATTAAAAGTAAAATATTAAGAGGTTCAATTAATTGTAGTAAGTATAGAAGTTTTCTTATAGTAACTTATAAAGTCTTGAATTAAAAGGAGGTTTAACCAGGCGCCAGGTTTATATCATGGGATTGATCCCTCTGGTAGCTCTATTACAACGTCAATTTGACAATCACGACCTGAAAATAACGCACGGGTCTTTTTCTAACGCCAGGCAGAAACGCAAGGTCACAAAAAGAATCTGGAGTTGGCATTAACTTCAATAGAAGCGCTCCACCTCAGCTCCAGTAGTAATTACGGCTTTCATGCTACTGTTGTTTAACATCAAAGACTGCATACTTCGTATTTAAAGCTACATCACATCCAGGAGCTCTTCAATCTCGATCATTGTAGTTTCAACTTAACAGCATTTCTATACTCAGCTCTTGGAGATACTCAGCATGAGCAACGCTCACATACAACTGCGCTGTAATGGACAAGCTAAGCTGAAAGCACACAACCAAGCAAAAAAATACTCTGCCAAAGCAAATTGACATAAGGAATACCTTAACAAACAGTCAGCTCAAGAAGGCCGAAGCCAAATATGGCAGCGCCAAATTGTCAGCCGAATTTGATTCCCAGATCAATGTCCTACCAAGGGACGGGGTACCAAGGAATGGATTAACTGGTGCCGTCAAACTCTACGAAACCGACCTGCCATCGCACAAGCCAAGAGAAATTTGGTGTCACTCGAAGGGCCCATCCCAGAGTACGCCGACGATGACAATGAACTCAGCAATATAGCCGCGCACATTTTCCCAAAGTGGCCGCCGTGTTTCAAGGACGCACCTAACGACATCAAACGGGGTTACCAACAGTTTGAACTTCACGGGATTGAACAATGACGATCTCCTGCTGAAGAATTTTGGTCCAACTACGTCCAGATGACTGAGAAGTGGTTGGATTGGGGCCACAAGCTAGACTACGGTGAGGCCAAGATCTGGCTCGGGCATGCAGGCGACGTCGTCTATACGGCAGCCTCAGGGTATCAGAAAGATTGACCCCCAGAAGCATAAGAGACGATATCAGTAGGTAAGTTTATGCTCCTTAGACTATACTTCTTAGGCTATTTATTCTTATGCCTTAAGACTTAGGAGGCTAATTTCTCTGTTACTCACTAGGACGGGAACATCTACGGTCAACGACTGCAAGTTTTCCAAGTGAAACCTGTCTTGGACAGGTTTGACGTATGCAAAGATTGCATACGGAGTAGACAAAGTCTTGCAATCGCCGTCTATGGCAGTTTGGCAGAACCGCTTCCCTGATGCCGACGTTGACCAGTGGAATTCCAATGACAACGAATCGTCCAAAGTCTTTCTGACAGAAACCAAACTGCAAGGAAGGCTTGATAAAGATGTTCGGGCAAAGTTGGGTTTGCCGCCAGCCATCGACTTGGAGTCCAACAATTCCAAAACACCAACCAAGAGACCATCGTCGCAATCTTCGTCAAGACCACACCTCCCATAGCGGGTTCAGTGCGGCAGATGGACACCCTGGGGAATCTAGAGGGGGAAAACAAGAAACCCAAGATCGCGTTGAGTTTCTTGAACCTCACACAGCCTAATGCAACACGTGCCAGTTCGATACAACACGACAAGCAAGGCAGTACGGCAACAAAGGGGATCCCAGAGATTGCGGAGCACATTCAGAGTGTCGTGACTACAGCGAAGGAAGAAATTGTAGAGCCGCTCCAAGAATCATTGGGGAGATGCGATAACACATTGTTGGAAACGCAACAGGAATTGGAAGACAAAATAGACAACGTTATGTCATCTACAAACACCAACGCCAGGGGACTACGAGATGGCAAAACAACGTCGCGACATGAAGAAGCCGGCGGGACACTACACTGCTGTGATCGACAGACTCACTACCGCAGTGATGCAGCTCTCACTCTCTGTGGCAGAGCCACTCAGACGTCCAAATGCCGAAAACGAAGTACTTCGACGTGACATGGAGCAGATTCAGCACGAATTGAAGGCATACAAAGAACGAATGAACAAACTCGAAGCACGACAGGGCAAATCGGACGACATTGACTCATCTAATGAGCCAATCGAATAACGGTCTTACGACGCAACAAAGGGGATGGTACCGTTCAAGACGGACGAAACAAAGGTCTAGTGTGTAGCAGAAAAGTTGGCCTCCGAAGTCTTAGGGTACAAAAAGAAATAGCCTAAGAAGTATAGTCTAAGTAGCATAAAATTGCCTACTGATTTTATCTCTTATGCTGTGGCAGCCAAGATCCAACAACACCATATCCAAAGCGATTACAAACGAGATTGAACATAACTCTTCAATTGACATGACAATTTAACGTTGCTACTAACTATGCAAAGAACTTGTAGACTGCATGATTGGTATTTTACGTTTCATCATCCAGAAGGTCTTCACCCTCATCTTGTGGTCTCAATTAAACAGCATTTATGTCTCGGAGATACTCAGCATGAGCAACGTTTACATAAAACTGCGCTGACAGGAAAGTCCCTACATTAGTAACGTTGTAGCACTTCAGTGGCAATTATGCTTCATTCCATTGCAACTACACTCAACTCAGTGGTAACCCTTCATCACTCCTTGGTCAAGATCTTCACTACACACAATGCTTACATTCAACTCTACTCTTCTGCCACAGGCGACAACATCAGTGTACTCACAGTATCTCTACGCAAGCCACATCCTACCAAGCGTATAAAGAGCTGTCGATTACATATCACATCTACTACTGGCCGCAAACTTGTATCCAATCCCGACAAGAGACAAAGTTACCAAGAAAGGTCCCAACTCCGGGGTAATGCAACAACTGCCATCCCATCATGGTGTCCGTGTAGATCTTCTTTTCTTTTATCCCACCGCGTAGATTATGCCCAATTTCTGAAACATCTGCATATTTTCTCATGCTTAGCATTGGTCTGTTCGGAAAACGTTTTGCCAGCATACCCATCGAACAGCGACATGGGGTTCTTCCAAATCTCGCATTCGTCAACATCTAACAGGATAATCATCAATGGGATGTGACCCTCCTACCTGTGCGGGGCCCGGGGTTTGTTGTGATCATTAGTGCTTACTCTTATGGTGCGGCATCTTCAAGAGCCGCGACAATTACCAGTCAGAGATTTAGACACTGTAGGTGCAGCTATGATGTGATTATTGTTGTCTTGTCTCTCATTGCTCAGATATTGATGAGTTACATGGGGAGGGTATCGTGACAGCTCGCCAATGGCTCGAGGCATCGACGATGATGATTTGATTATCTACACCCTTGTCAGATCTCCGCAGGATCACGGCGCCAGTCTTTCCTTCCTTCCTTGGGCTATTTTCTCTGTTTTCTTAGTCCATGTAAGGCGGTGAAGACTCGCGACTCGGACCCGAAGCTCGCTCTTTTGACCGCGTTGAGAAAAAGAAAAAAAGATCTTACATAACTGTACCAAAAGCTTATAGTTAGTTCCAAGCCGAGTAAGATCAAGATTTGAAGTACTTCCGTCTAGGTGATGACTGCAGACGAAAAGAGGATTGAGAAAGTGAGTGGCATGCATCAATGATCACCAGCTACGCCGCTAGGTACCTGAATCCCAGCTTGAAAATGTCGTGGCATGAATCTCTAATAGCGTCATGTTGTTCAACATCACCTTGAATCCAAGAACGCAGTCCCATCTCGGGCTTAGCAAAGTGCATTCACAACACATCATGATCATAGGGCTGGCATGAGTGACGACATATGACGATTCATGCGTTGCTTCTCACGTTGGGCGGTGTATACAGAGTATTTATTGAATGTGGCTGTCTTGATGATAGCTGTGAGTGAGGGGGGCAGACCACAGCAACACTTTGGGCGAAATATACGGACGAGTGACATAACATGCAGCCCGTTTGACGTCGGCTTTATTGACAAGACATGTTTGAAGATCTGATGAAATCGAGTTTCATACTACGGGATATCGCAGAGTAAGACGGCAATGCCGGCTACGGAATCTCCTTCTCTACAGCTTCTTCAAGGGTCCAAACACCACAAGTTGGTGCTCGTGGGTTGGGGTAGGATTCAACCGCGCGCGGTGACCTTTCCCTTTGTAGACGTTTAGCCCAGTATCAACGACGGTACTTGCATGCCGTCAGATTAACAAGTACCTTTTTCAGGGGTGTGTGCAATAGTGAACAAAAGCGGACGCCCCTCCTTCGTTGTGAGTGAAACACTGCCTCGTTCTAGGGCTTTGCTGGAATAACTTAACTCCTGTTGAAACAAGGGAAGCTTGGACTGGTAGTAGGGCTGACAAAGAAAGGACGAGCTACAACTTTCCAGGACAAACGGAGCGACTGATGGATACAACGTCTTGAGTGCCATTGCATCGTCCCGTTCCTCAAGCGGAAACCAACGCGTAGAAACGATTACTCTCCTTGAACCAATAAGAGCATGCAGCCATGCAGCTGTCGATAAAGCAAGCTGCGGGAAGTAGTAGGCTCCGTAGACTAGAGGAGAAGCAGTGTGTGTCTAGTTAGCTGTCAATCTCATGACCATAGTACATAGCTGTCACATTCGAAAAGGGTATCAAGATGCGAGCTTCCCCTCTTGACCAAAACGTCATAAAGATATCTACCGAGATGGAGGAGCTATGACCACTTGAAGCTGTACCGTTGATCATGGTGTTGGTGTTGGTGTTGACAAGGCTATATGCATATGATACAAACAAACAACCCAACGCTGACAGGGCGAATCAAAGACTGAAAATGTCTAGTGAGACCATGTTATACTCCAAAAGGCAATCGCCGATACTTCACAACTCGAAAGTAAGCAGTTTTTGCCAAGAACAGAGAAAGAGGCTATTTTCATGTTGTCCCACAGTTGATCGTGATACAAAAGCAAAAGCCCACATCAATAAAGTAGTCCAATCTTTTTTAAGAACTGTCCGGAGCAGGGCATTCCATGCAAGGTATAAAAAAAAGCGTGCTGACTGGCTTACGGGTACAAGCCCACTCAGATACAGTATCATCAAGGCGAAACTGTAACCGGGCGTATGCGTGTCGCGTATAGTAAGTTTTATCGTTTTATTGAATGTCTTGTCTTTTGCTATTGGTTGATAAACGGGTCAGCCCTACAGTGGCTTAGTCGAAAAAAGTCCTTGACCCGCACCTTTGCGAACTCTCATCTTGTCAAACTCCAACGCTAAGAGCGTCAAGATAGGATATCAGATCCATATAGGGCTTATCACATCACAATTATAGGCCCAAAAGAAACGTTGTGCTCAATCATGTCCTTGCAGGGCTGTGAGGCTCTCTCTAGGGCGTGTTTTTGTTCTGGGGTGTTCAAGTATCGTATCACTTCAGATCAAGATGTCTTTTTAGTGCTGATGGGATCAAATACCTCCCTCTCTCTCTCTCTCTCTAATTACCGTAGGTCTTCGGACTCAAACTCCCGCATCAACAATCCATCCGTCGGAAATGGCCCACATGAGGAACAGAAACCATGCCATCTTTCATCATCTTGACTGGAGCCCGAACCTCCCGGTCGATCCCAGTTTCTCTTCCTTGCGCTCAACATGCGAGTCGCACGTCTTGATCGTCTCACGCCCTGTAAGCCCTAGACCTGCCTACCCCGCTGGACTTTTGGATCCTTCTTGTCTCTCAATGGTTCGCTCGCCAACTGATGCTGCCGAAGGAAGCAAATGCAACTGGACAAGGTAGAGCTTCCCAAAGCATTCATGTTCTTGACAGGGTAGAGCTTCCCGAGTTATAGGCGGACCCGTAAGCTAAGACTTCGGCGTCCTGTGGGGTCCCCGGACATGTTATTCGGGCCCCGCGGTGAACCAGCCACGGATGTGTTTGTAAAAAGTCATTGTTGATCGGCTTTTTACGCGGAGCAAGAAGGGCGTGTATGTTCATCTGGATACTGTAGAACCCGTTCCCTTGTTGCTCACAAGTTACCGCTCCGCGGAGCTAGACCGGGCGGCATCCGGATCCCCATACTCTGCCCCGTCGGCCTCTTCACAACATCATCCACCCTCGCTTTCTGTAGCGAAAACGCCGGCGTAACCCATCCACCGCACGAACACCGAAAACCCTTCCAGTCATACCGACCTACACCAGCACCGCACTTATCATTCGGACACAGCAATCTCCCATTAAGTTCTCCCTTCTCCAGCACTCCACGCATCCAGCTCAACGGCTCGACAAAGTAATGCTGGCAAGTAGACGCAGAAGATTGTTTGTCAGAAGGTTTGTGCTCCATGATGAACGGCGCCGTGACAAGGGTGCGACGGCACTTCTTACATCGTAGACTAAGACCTGAGTCATCTTGAGGCTGCGTTTCTTCATCCTCGAAGCGGAGCCTTGTAGGTGCCTGGCCTACTGCAAGGTTCTCATCGATTTCACGCTTGTAAGCCCAGCGTTGGTAAACAGGGTGTGATTCAACGTCGTTGGGACATTCCATCTCCCACCATAGAGCGAGCTGCTCCATGAAGCCTTCGTTGGGCTCGGCCATGGGTCTTGTTCGGCGGACAAATGTGAGAGCTGCATGAACAGCTTCTTGGGCGGTTTCTTTTCTCGAGCGCTTCTCTCCTGATGTCTGGGCAGTCGTAGCGTGAGTCGGATCTGAGATCGAAGTAGGTGTAATGTTGGGATCAAAGCGGCTTGGGTATCGGCGTAGAAGATACGCAACGACAGCTGAAACAGATCTCGACTTTCCAACAGCGCAGTGAACAAAGACACCACCCTTCTTCTTCCTCTTCTTCTCAAGATCCTCTTCACCTTTTTCTATTGAGACACCCCCATCTTCATCTGCATGCTCCATATAGTTCGCGCCAAGACCTTCCTCGATAAATCTGACAGCTTTAGGTAGCTCAATCAGCAAGTCAGCATCCTCCACATCGTCTATATCGATAAGCTGGTGACGAAAGTCCTTCCCATAGTCGATCCAAGGTTCGTCTTTGAAGTTTTTGAGGCTGGAGATGTCGAATGGTACAAGGGATAGGACGTGGGTTATGCGACGATCGGTCAGCGAGTCGGAGCGGCGTAAAGCCCAGAGACTGCAAGATTTCTCGATTAGCATTTTGTTTGCATGTAAATTGGTCGCG